TGCTTTTGATCGATTCGGGGGAGTGACGAACACCTATCGGACCTATCAAAGTATCATGAAATCGGTGAGTGCAGAGAGAGAAACGGATCTCGTGGAGCGACGATGTCACGCGTGAAGGAGCAGAAGTGGGTCCGCAGCGGGGGCCTCGTGTGATGTATTGCGTGCGACTTGCTGAGGCATCTGCGATCTCTCGGGTTCTGCAGCACCTGAACTCAAGAGCTAGATCCCCAATCCTCTGCCATGGCGTCGCTTGCAAGCCTGCCTTTGGTGAAGAAGGAGGGTTTGTTATTAGCAGAGGGCCCTGGCCCAAGCAGCTAGCATCCCTGAGGGCTCCATGCTTTCCAGGATGGCTCCAAAGGAGACATCTCCGGCAAAGTTGTGGCGAATCTTAGCCGATCTCAGCAGTACTACCATTGTCACTTCAGTCACAGTCCACCTGCTGTGACATCGTCACCGAGCTCTCGCCAACTAAGGCTGTATTTCAGCGACGGTCTCAGCACAGAATGCATAGTTCGCGAGAGTGCATGTTGAAGCTAGCGAACCATCCGGCGAAATTACGACGTTTCCAAGGTGCGCACTGGTGTCCACCGTGCCGGGCGTTCACGCCTGCCCTGAAGCAGTGCCATGGATGCATCCTTGAGCGAATGCAGAGACAGACGGAGAAGCCAAGGTTTTACGAGTCCTTGAAGCAGGAGGGCCATGAGGTCGAGATCGTTTTTGTTTCCGCAGACAAGTCGGAAGCAGACTTCAAGGACGCCGTAGTGATATGTGAGTGCAACAGGCAAGGAAGTTTGATCGTGCGATGCAAAAGTCTACACAAGTCTTCGATCACAGTCCCTCGCCGTTGAGCATCTTATTCGATTCACAAGGCTGCGAAACACATATCCGCTGTAACCACGTCATTATCGGATTTAAGACTCTACCCCCGCGTGGACCCGGGGAGAACATCGTTTTCGTTGAGTCTCGGTCAGGGGTCAGCTGGTTTCTTCAGCGGTAGAGGATGAACTCGCGAGGAATATTTCCACAACGAGCATGGAGACTGGCTGGCGGTTGATTTCTCGGCGGCTGAAGAGAGGGACAAGCTGTCCAAGCAGTTCGGTGTGGATGGCATTCCAAGCCTGATCGTCGTGGATTCCAAAGGGAAGGTGCTGGATCCACATTTGGAGGCCGAAGCTTCGAGTTTTGAACCTGACAGGCCGCGGATGGCATTGAAGCCCGAAAGGATGTGGCAAGTGCACGCAGTCCGCAGGCCTCCTGCAAAGACTTGCGGACATGCAAATGCCTAGTATGGCTATGCCATGCCATGGCCACGTGCAAGGATGCCTCGCAAGCTTTCGCAGCCTGGAAGAAGGCAGCAGGAGATTGGCGGGAGACTGCTGGTACAGTTTCGAACTCAGTGGAAGCAGAGAGGCAGTCATTCCGAAGAGGACGTAGCAAAAGAAACAGTCAGCACTGGGTCTTCCTCATTTCTGCTGGCTATCTCCGCTGCACCTTTTGCATTTTGGGCTGTCTTTCGGGTTTGTCCTTCAGATGTCGGCCCGCCCAGTGACAAGTCGAGAACACCACGCTCGTGGTAATCTCTCCGTGCAAAGTCGAAGCAGTGTTTCTTCCTTGCTCTTGGCATTTGCGAACTCTCCAAGCGTGGGGACGGCTAAAATGCCCGTATGGACCAGGGGGGAATGAGCACAGGCTCTTGGACTCTTGCCTGCCGCTTCGGCATGTGAACCTTGCCTAGAGCAATGTTGCCGGACATCTTGAGCCAAACCTTGCATAATGTCCAGACAATTCGCACACCGCCAACCGACCACGGTTCCATTTCGCACCGAGCAACGGCATCAACTTCCAAGCCTCGCCACTTGCTGCAACTCCACGTTGACTTTGCCTGTATTCGAAGTCCTGCTCTAGAAGTTTCGAACAGACGCCCCCTGCTTGCGCAGAGGATGGAAGCGCGGGTCGTAATGGCTATAGGCGGCCGGATGTGGCCGGTCTTCGCCTCTGCCGAGGTCTTGGGCGGCGCCGGCGCTAGCGCTGGACCTGCTGCTGGCGATGCCGCCGCGCTGCGTGCAGCGCGTCTTGCGAGATATGGCTGAACCTCGAGGTCACATTCCGATGCGCCAGCTTGTGAGCTTGTACAGCCGCTCAAGATAGCCGCGCATCATGAGGGGAGTTGGAAGTTGGTGCACTTGCTGTATACCTTTGGCCACGTGCCGTGCACTTGCACCAGCTTGGCGGCATGCCTGTGCTTAGCAGGCAAATGATCTGTTACGAAGCCAGCGCGTCGCATGGCGCAGTACCACACACTTCCCGCGGAGGGAAAAAGGTGTGCACCCAGCGTTAAAGCATATTATTGCTGCAAGAGCCATGACATCACTCCTGCATGTGTCTGATTGTCATGTTTCGTGTGGTATCGTTCAAACATCTCAGGCCCTCGCTGCTAGCTTTTGTCCAGTGCACGTGGCGGCACTGGTAAGTCAAAGGCGCTGTTGTGTGTTCCGGCTCCCGTGAATTGTTCTGCTGAGGTGCCTTCACGGCGAAAGCCGACCCACGTCTTCACATCTGCGGTCGCACCTGGTGCCTCGACAAAGAGCTTAGCAGTTGTCGATTCGGAACACCAAACCTGAAATCTAAGAACGCCCCGAGGAGGCAAAAAAGAACGCCCCAAGGCAGTTGTAGGAGCGCAGAAATTGCAATGGTGATGGTACTGGTGCTGGCACCAGTTCTCGTAACGGGAACTGTAGTGGCAACGTTCAACAGTTGCCTTGGCCTCGCCAGGCTGCTCTTCTTCCAGCCTCTTGGGCAACAAATAGAAGCTGTCTTTTCCGGTCGAGAATTTGACAATAGCTGTGCCAGCAGCATGCTGAGTGTTGGTGCTGTTGTCGCCGTCGCCGTCTTCGTGATTGTTCTTGTTCTTCTTCTTCTTGTTGTTGGCTTTGATGGTTTTGTTCTTCGAGGGTTTGTCCCGAGGGGACCGGGCGGGCACGGGATGGCGCCAGGCCTACATGGTGCCTCGAGAGATACGTTTCGTGGAGGCGTCGGAAGCATGTCTGTAGATCGACTCAACTGTCGATAAATAGGCCAGTTAATGCCAGGAAAGCCCAACAACCGTCAGCATCAGCCCGGAAAGCTTTCCAGGTTGCACATGGCAAGACGTCGATGTGGCTTTGGAAAATCGTAGACGCTAACAGCTCAAGGTTCGATGAGCAGCCCTTGCCGTAGCAGATCGCAGCTGCAACAGTAAAGGCAAGATAACACGAACAGCCGGGGAGAGAGAAGGGCAGAAAGAAAGAAAGAAAGCGAGAAAGAAAGAATGATAATTATGACACGAACAGCACGAATGGAACAGCACTCTGGCTTTGGCAGAGCACATCAGTTAGAGTCTTAATCACTTAATCGTCATGGGCATGACCACAGCAACCCCACCATCCACACAACGCCTGGTCCGAATCGCAAGAATCACAATCGAACGACAATGAATAAAGCAGGCGAAGAAGCCATCATGGCTGTAACAGCCATTTCAAGAGTCATAACACTCGCGCACTTCTAGCTAACTGGCGATGATGACGATGATGGGGACAATGCGGTCACGACGGCGACGATGATCATGAATATTAGTTGCCGCTGCGGCGGCTGCTACGTCGTTGCCGCTGCTGCACGTGTAAGCGACAGCCGCCGAAACAACCCACCAACCCCACCGCCACCACCACCGCCGCCGCCGCCACCACCACCACCACCACCACCACCACCACCACCACCACCACCACCACCACCACCACCACCACCGCCGTTACAATGACGCCGCTTCCACCAGCATCATCACCACCGCCGCGACCATCGTCATCATCGTCATCTTCTTCTTCGTCACCATCTCCACCATCTTCACCATCTTCACCACCATCATCGCATCATCACCGTCATCACCATCATCATCGCCATCATCACCATCATCACAATCATCAGCATCATCAGCATCACCATATCATCGCCATCATGGTCAAGACTGTCATCACCATCATTACCATCATCAAAAACCCATCATCACAATCAGCATCAGCATTCATCATCCTCGCAGTCATCGCCACCAACCTAAACTTACTAAACGTCATCCCATTGGCCTGGAAGGCAATGCCGCTGACTGCATCGGGGAAGGTCGACCGTCGAGCACTGCTCGAGTCAGCGCATGTTCCTGACGGTGGGCAGAACCGAGCAGGTGGGACACCGGGCGCCGCCGCTACTCCGGAATGTTCCATTGCTTGTGTCGCAGGCAGTCTGGCTGGAAGTGCAAGGGAAGTGCTGTTCTTGGCGTTGGCTGAGCCCTCGGATCTTCTTTGACTGTGACACCGACCCATTTCCGCTTGAGACACGAGGGCAACCCCGGTGGTGCCTCCTTAGACCTGGAAGCTTCGCTGGCAGAGCTGGGGGCGGCTCGGGCTTGGCGTGCTTGTCGAGCCTAGAGTCTAAAGTGACGTGTGCTTGTACGAAGACCATGCAGTCATGCACATACAGGAAGAGCAGAGAGTGCACAGCTGCTTCAAAACATGCACAGCTGGTCGGACATCCAATGAAGGTAGACTCGCTGACGGCAGCCCCGCTCGCAGAGAGGCATACCACTTTATGGAGCATGAAATGCAGATGTTTCGTCAGAAGTTTTGCCATTGACTTCCTGGAGGCTGGGCCGCGATGTGTATCTCGTCTGCGGTGCAGCTTTCGCCGCAGTTTCGACGTTTTGGTCTATGACAGCCCTGACGCTCAGGCTGTACGGTCGAGAGGACGTTCCCTTGGAAGTGTTGCTGGGAGATGGCAGCCTCGCAGACCTGTGCCAGCTGCTCTGGGGGAGTTTATTTTTGGTGTCGCAACCGTGACGAACCGTTTTCCCAAGGTGGTTACCTGGAGGAGCGCCAGCAGCTTCTGAGTCGGAGAAGCCCTGGCGATACTGCGCAGAAACAGACTTCCCTGAAGTGCTGAGTGGTGCAAACAACCCCCCCTTAGTGACAAGACCCTAGGCGTGGCGGCTTCACCTTCGAGCGTTGCTGCCGGGACTCGGACGATTCGTGCCGGATGCTCGATGACGACGAGTTCGATGATTGAGTTCGATGGAAGTCAGACAGCACCACTCGATCTTTGGCTCAAGTCTTTGTGGAGCCCAAAGGAGAAAGCTGCGCGCTTTCTGGCTCCAAGAGACTTGTGCAGATGTATGCAAGATGGTGGCTGCTCTGTGCCTACCTCTGCGGGGCAGTGGCAGAGGCGCCGCTGCAGTGCCTCCCTCGAAGCGAGAGCTGAAGGCTACGTCTGCAGCCCCTTAGAGCTAAGAGAGCTCAAGGTGCGGCGTGGGCTTCTTCGCGAACGCGAACGAAACGGGTGCCATGGCTTGAGCTTCGAAGACCGGCTCCCGGCTCAGCGGAGCATAGCGGAGCTTTGGAGAGCCGCCCCAGGAGCCGAAAGCGGGCCCGGCGCTTGCCCGGAAGACTGCCCGTCCCTGCTCCAGTGCGGAGCCGACAGCGGGCGGCCTCTCGGCTGCCAGCACTTTGAAGCGGAGGAGCAACGGTCCGGTCCGCCGCACTGGAAGCTTGCAAGGTACACCTGCGTCAGGAAGGAGATGTGTGGCAGATTGCTTCCAAGAGGATTTGCAGTGCACGAGGACCAGTCGACGCCTCTCCATTCACAGTTTAGATGTTCTCGGCCTGCGTGGATTTTCGACCTGCTGGCGGGTTCAGGACGGAACCGGCCGATGCGCAAGCTGCGACATCCCAGGATGCGACAAGTGTGCGGACGTGGCTCAATGTGCTCGATGTGGCAGTGGATTCGAGGAGCTATCTGGCAAATGTATCTTTGCTGACTCAGCTGATATCGCTTAGTGTCAAGCATAGAGACGTGCACGCAGCAAGACATCTCTTCGTTTTGGCCACAGCGGGCGTTTGAGGTGAGTGGAGGGCGAAGATGCTGTGGCAAGCAGTCGGCATCGCGGGAGTCTTGATCTTTGCTTGGGCCTGCTTCGATATTGCCATGGCTCACCTCAAAGAGCGCACCAATCACGCGGCGCTGAAGGCACTTTGCGAAAATAATTCTTCGGACCAAATGCACCTCCATAGCAAGGTGCCTGTTGGCCTGACATTGAGGCAGGCTACATCTCTCGCTGGCGTGCAAAGCTTCGAAACAACTACGCCGCGAAGACGCATCAGTTACCGGCCATTACCCGACCACGCATGTCATCAGCTCTCGTCTTGTGTTTCGAAGAGGGAGTACTAACTAAAGTGTTGCCGTAGCTGGAAAGATCCGGTGGACACTGGTCTCGATCCTTGCTTCACGGAGTGGCAAGAGTCCAGAAGCGGAGGGCAGTCGCACCTAAGGAAATGGGCAGACCGCAGTACCCTCTGTGCTCTTCCATGCATTGGCATTCCTCCGGCAGGGCACCGATCGGCGGGCCCGGCACAGTGCTCTGCATGAACTGGTCGCGAGGATGCACTCAGTTCAAAGGGCGGCTCTTTGCGGCCAAAGTATGCCAAAGTGCAACATGCCATTTGTAGTTGTCGCTGCGAAATCCCTGAGCTCATAGGTTTGCGTTGGTGGCTGCCGTTGGCATCTGGCTGTCGGTCCTGGCCTACCATTTTGCACCGCAGTGGAAGCCAAAGCTACTGGACCGGCTTGAGCCACAAGCAACCAAGAAGCATCCAAGAGTCCATGTGATGAATCTCCAGGACCCGACGCTGGTGTGGAAATGCAACCTTGAACACCTTCAGGGGCCGGAACCGTGGCACGGTATCTGGGCGGCGCTGAACTACATAGGTTCCTTGTCAGCGACAATTGCGGAAGTTTCCTGTTTTCACCGTCTTGAATTGACAGCTGAGAAAGATCTTGCACAATTCGCAGTCTTCAAAGAAGGTGCGACGGTGATGTCTGCGATCTTCCTCATGTGGCAAAGCTTGCTGTGGACTAGCATGACACACGACACGGAGGGAGACATATGCCTACATTTCTACTGTGACTTGGTTGCCTGACGTGCAGATGATGTCCACTCGCGAGGAGGTCATACTGAGCTGCGCAGTGCTGCACAGGTGTTGAGGCATCCGGCTTCCCAGAGGATGCAACTGACAAGGAAGAATTGGCGGACGCTGGCTTTGAAATTGGTGATCAGTGTCGTCAGTCAGTGAAGACGTCCCGCTACGAAGCTGCTCACCCACAGCTTGACCATGATAATAATGTGCTAAGGCATACTTCAGCCGAGCTTTGGTTGATCTTGGCCTTCCGCCAGATGGAGTCGAGCACATTTCTATAGGCCGACATGGAGAGAGGGGGGGCGCCTGTTCTTAGCATCGAGTCCTCCTTTGATGCTTGAGGCTACAAGTTCACTCCAGCTGAAGCTCTATGGGTGGAGCACGCCTTGGAGAGCCATCTGGCGGAGGAGGATGCAAATGATCCTGGAAGCCCAAGCCACTACCAGGAGAACTCTGCGGCTTATGGGCCCCTGAGCCAAAGACAGGTCTCCAGAAGTGTTGGCGAGGCCGAAATGATGGAGTTGAAAGCCATGACTGCCGATTTCAGCGACACTAGCTCTGACGCGGAAGACACAGATGCAGGAGGCTTTTGGGTTCAGCTGCTTGCCGGCGCCGCCTGGCTTTATCTTGGATTAGATGTCGGAAGTGGTTCTTTTGTGCTACAAGGATGCCGAGGTTAGGCGGCTAGATTTGTAGGTTTCAGACGTGCACCTGCAGCGCACCACAGCAAACGGTTGCTACTTAGTGTGAGCGGTTGTCAGAAAGGACGTCTGTGTTCCTGTAAGTGCACTCTCAAGCTTGCAACACATGCAAAAGTCACGACAGGGCATGCTCAAAGACGGTCCCTGCTTGGATTGACAGGACATCGCTTCTGCTAGCTGCTATGCGCCGAGGTCATGTGTGGCACCCCTTTTTCGTGCCGCGAGACGTCTGTGGACCCGCAAAGTATCTGCCAAAACGAAGACTTGGATGAGCTGAACGCGGATCATTTCCCAAGCTCCGGTCTCGTGCAGCTTGCCCAACAAGCTGCTGACGTGCAGTCGCTCGTTACGGGATCGGGTGCGGTAAGCCATGTCCAGGTTCGTTGTTTTGAAGATGGAGCCAGTGGCTGTGGCCCTCGCGAGTGCGCAAGTCTTGCCAGGCCGGTCATAGGGTCAAAATCAAAAGAGTCGGACATCAACTTCGATGCTTTCTAGCTCGAACGACTTGAGCCCTCGTGCGGTGAGGCCGCTTCCGTGGGGTGCACGACATCAAAGTCAAGCGATGCCAGAGCAGCCCGCAGGTTCCCGTGCATCTCCTGCAAGACTGAAGCTTCCTGATTCCTGATTCTTTCATCAACATAGCCTGCTGTGAACTCGCAAAGACATGCATGTGAACTTGAAGAAATCTCGGCGGCTCGGGGTGCTTGATCGTTCCATCCGAGAGCAATCTTTCCCTTCGCTGCAGACGATTCTCTGGGCCAACTTCCACGTCGACTCTCACATGTTCTGGCAGAGGGCGGTCCTGTGCGTTCCTTTGCGCTTTTTCCTTGCTGTCGGAGATGTCGTGATGCTCTATGCTCGCCGAAGTGCTTGCCATCTCCCCGCTCTCTTCCCCTGGCAAGGTCATGCTTCGTACTGCTGGTGGCTCTTGCCGTTTGGTTTGGGCTCTACTTTCCCTTCTATCGCCTTTCCATGACGCTGGTGCTGCATTGATCGTTGTAGCTCGGTGTGAGGTCGCATGGTACAACTCTGAAGCTACAGGAGCGTCGGCTCCTACAACGTTACGTCAGACCTGGCAGTCGGTGTCTCAAACTTCGCTGGCCTCATCATCGCTCCTTGCTTTCAGCTAGTGAATTCTGTGCAATTGACCCAGGTCGTACAGTCATTGAAGGCATTGGAACTCCAGTTGAGCTAAGGCACTTGGCAACTGTTCTTTGGCTGATGGAAGTTAGCCTGCATATTTCTTTAGACTGGTTTGTCATGCGAGGTGCGCTGTCCATCTTGATTCCCAAGCTCACCCAGTACATGGGGTATTGGCATCAGAGTGAGCAGCATCTGACGGATCTGGCCGTTCTCATACCGTGACTTGGTGCGATAGCTAACTGTGCAGTATCAGTCCCTGCACATTTCTGCAGTTGGGGCGGGGCAGAGCCGCAGAGCTCAGGTGTGTGGCCGTGAATTGCCTCATGGCTGCTTGGCTCACTTTCTATGTGCCAAGCTTTCGACGTTTGAAGTGGGCTGAAGGCTGCGTGCAGCTGTGTGCAGCTCTGCACTCTCTGCACTCAGGACTTTTTCGTGGGAGCCTCGGTGCTGACGTTCGCCTGGAAGCTATGCTTGGAGGGGCTTCTGGCTCCATGTGTTGCCAGGTCACCAGCTACAGTTCCGTGCAGCAGCTGTCGGACAACCTGTCTCATGATGTCAAACTGGAGGTGGTGCCCCAGCCCGCGTTACTGACCGCCCTTACTCTGTGTTCTGCATGTCATGGGTTCGTGACTTTGCTGCTTAGCGATCCATAGGATTTTTCCGTCTCCCGGTTGCACGAGACACGGCTGCCTCAGGTCGAGGACGCTCGACAAGAGCTAGCAGGGTCGGCAGGGTTGTTGCGTGCAAGCTTGTTTCACGTCGAGTTGCTCAAGTGCCCGTTGCCTGCGATGCGCTTTCAGTCGAGTCCCATCGCAATCTGAGGAAAACTTGGTCTACCTTCTTTTTCCGTCCTATGTGCTGTTGCCATATCTCGTTGAGCCGGCACCTTTACTGCACACATGCACCGCAGCTGTAGTCGTGCATGATGGGTAGGCAAAGTGCGGTCGCTCGGCATGCGCAGAGGTGGCCACCATCGCATTTGCCTTCTATATCGCAGTTCTTCGAATAAAGCGTGAGTCTGGGTGGCAGTACTCAAAGCTCCACATGCTCTAGCCTCTGTGTCTTTTGCAAGTGCATTCCTTGTCTCTGACGGGTGCATGCTTCCCCGAGGACGGCCGCATCACTCCAGGGCAGGCAGAAGTTGCCATGATGGCACCAGAAACAGTGACTTGTCAGCATCTCAGGGTACCACATCGGAAGGTACCAAGTAAATCAACGGTAGAAAAAGGAAAGGAACCGTCGTGCTTTCTGGCTTAGGATCTCAAAGTGCCACTTGCAGATTTGCACCTTGGCCCCAGACCTGTGACCACAGTGATAGTATATAACACATACTGATCGACAACCACACAGATGGACGAGGAGCTGTCCGCGCTGTCGTTTGTGCGGCTCAGGATCTGCACGACATCCACCATTATTTCAACCCTTCTCCTGGGGCCGACCATGTACCACAGACCTTGGCCTCAACGAGCTGTTGTTTTTTTGTTGTTGTGTGGCGGGGCTCATGGCTTGCTTTCAGCCTCCGAGGAGTCTTCTTCCTCCTCATGACTGTTTTCAGCGGGGTGGCTCCTTGGCATCCCTCGGCGCCCGGCATCCTCTTTGCACTTGCGTCTCCGGAAGTTTCTCGGATCTGAGGCTTACATCCAATATCGCATCCGAGTCCTGCGCTGGGACTCGGCATGCTTCCAGGGCACAAAGAGCTTACATGTGCCGGAGCCGCAAGAAACCACGAAGCGTCGGGAGATATGGAAAACTCTTGATTGACCGAGTACCAAAGGCCTGCCAAGCTGCATACTGGTGTTTCCCCTTGGGCCTCCTTGCCGCAGCGTGGGAGCGATCGTGGAAAGCAGTCCCAAAGAATGACCTGTTTACTGGGTGGTGCCTTGGCTCACATAGCCGGGCCTCGTCAAGCGAGAGCGCGCATGTGCTGTGTTCACTTCGTCAGAGCAAGGCACGGCTTTACCGCGCCTCTTGATTGCAGGGCCACCGGTCTGCTTCCGCTCGGCAGACACAGACAGACGAACCCAGGCATTGCATGATGCATTTCATCTTCTTGCGCTTCGTCTTACCAGGCTCCGGGTTCGGCCCCTTGATGGATTAGAAGGAGTTTGTTTCAAGCGGGACTGCGCAGGTCTGGAGCCTTCGGTTCCTAGCAGCCAGTTGTCCTACTCAGAGGCCCGCTGAGTGTCCTCCGAGGGTTCCGGCTGCTGGCCTTGCAAGGCTCTCAGCCAGCTGGGTGGCCCGCTCAGAGGTGATGCCGTGTTGTCGTCTTGGGTCCGCAGCGGGCTTGTGCCAGCGACTGCACCCTGCGGAGTTTGGATGCCAAGAGCGACACGCATGCCATTGTTTAGGGTCTTGTGGCACGGATCGGCCCGGCCGCAACCAGTGCCATCCCCCCCCACATGCGCATGCGCGGCATGTGGCACGTCGTTCGGGGCTTTGGCATGATCTGCATGGGTACCAATCCTCGGTATTATTTTCAGCAGGGCTGGAACGCTCATTCATTGGCGCCACATAGACTTCAAATTCGGAACGAGAGTCGAATAAGAGTCACCGTGCCTCTACACGGACTTGGCGATGCTGGCCAGGGATTATGCAGCATGATGGCATGTCTCTTTTTGGGAGCCAGTGTTGGGGGTGGCAGGGGGGGCCGGAAAGGGAATGTCGGGCCGGCGTCGGCCATGGGTTGTGGGTGCGCGCCACTCAAAAGTAAGGCCCTCCGAATTGTTCCCTGCGAGGGCACAGTGCCACACATGCGTGCTTTTCTACTGCTACGGTCATCCTGCGAGCTTCTCGGGAAAGGTGGGACAGCTGGGCTAGCTGACTACCTGAACACCAACCCCATCGAGGTGCTTTGCCCGTAAGCCCAAGCCATCGAAGCTAGAGCCACAGCCCGTGAGGTGCTCAAGAGCCATGTGGTGCCTGAGCTGTTCACACGGCAGCGATTGATTTACTATCGACCCGACAAGGAGTATCTGTGTCTTGGCACTGCAAAGTTTGTACGAAATCGAAATAGGTGAAACTAGGGACGCATCACGGTTGCAGTCTGATGTCTCCCCTCATGTCTTCGAAGGCAGCGACGAGCTTGCAAGTTCACGGCAGGAGCAAAGAACGACCAGACGGTTGCCTGAAATGTCGTGAGAGTATAGGAAACCTCGATTGTGGACGATGGCACTGTGCCGAATGGAGCAGATTTACAGCTGGCTGCAGGAGATAACGGTTTCATGATGAGTATGTTGGATCGCATGCATGCCGATGCGAACTCAGTGGTGCTGCGCCCAGATCCCACGGCCGTGCCGTGCCGTGCCTCGTGCAACTATAACAGATCGTCGGCGTGGGCCTACTTCTACCGCCAGGTCTCCGAAATGGTCACCTCCGTCGGCCGCCCCCTTGATCAATTAGCAGTTGCTCGGCGAAATCTGTGCAATGTTGCATTCAGTGGAATGCGGACCTCCCGCTGCAGGCTCACGGGGCTGACTGGAGTCTTGCAAGTCGAAGGAAGGCCCAACAATTCATGCGGGCCAGATCCGGCTCAGATTCTGAGACAGGTTCGGGATAGTCGCAGTGACTGGAGGAAGGTGCTGCTTACCTCGAAGCTGTGCAGACAAGCTACAGCAGAACAGAAGGCCCATGCGAGCCCAATATGTCCACATGCAGACCAAAGTCAGGGCCACAAAGAGGGCCAGTCTGCCTGTGGGGTGGGACAACCCTTTAACAAAGCATGTGCAGTGCGCAAAGCGAGCACGAAGCGCATGCAAGCAAGCTTTGGAGTGGATCCGAAAGTGCAGCTCGGAGCCTCTCGCAATCTCGCAACGGCCTGATTCGCATGAAGTGTATGCCATAGCTCTCAGGCTGGGATTCCTCGTTTACCTTCGATCGGTGTTGCAGCCTGACAGCTGTGAAGCGCTACGCGTCACTCCGGCAAATTACACACGGCCGGCAGTCCTAAGAATGTCTGTAAGTTGTCTGTCGCAATTCTAGGGACTTCAACTTCAAGCCGCCCCAGAAGCCTCACTACGAGCTGTCTGCCTCTCAACTTCTGAGCGTCGCGTCGCCATTCGGCCTTTCCATGTTCTTGGGATCGGCTGGGCAGGTTGCACCTCGAGCGTGACAACAAACCTCGGCTTGGACCCGTGCAGGCACCGGAGTGCCGGACAGGCTTGGACTGTCTTGGATGCCGGGGAAAGTCTGCCAGGATGACGAAGCACTTCTGCTCTACAGCTTGGTTCGTGCATTGCGTGTGGGCCTTGTCAAGTGTGGGACGACAAGTCCGCATTGGCGAGCTAGGCAGAAGGTGCATTCTGCTGGGCTGGACCGCTTGCCTGTCAGGTCCTCGAACAATCGTAGAGCTGGTTCCTCGGCCTGAGTTGATGCTCATAATGTAGACCTTGCTGAGCAGCCACCCCGCAATGCTTGCACTCCAACTCACGGACATGAGGTTTGGAACATCCAACGGTTTCAGCGCGCTGAACTGGATGTTGCTGCCCTGCGAAGTGGCCCACGCAACACCTTCAGCACCGTGTACTGTGCCGAGGCATGCAATCGCAGAGGATCCAGATGCTCGGGTCTTCAGCCTGGCCCATAGATTCACAAAGATTTCGCGGCGGGCGTCCGTCCAGCAACGTGGAAGGCTACGACATACTGCCGTACCCTGCAGCACGGGCACTGGAGGAGTGCCGGCAAGTTGCTGCCGTAGGTTGTGCCTGGCCCGATGGCCCAGTTTGGAGGACTCCGACCCACGTTTCCTCTTCCACCAGAAGAGCCGGGAGCCTCCCGAAGCGGACGTACACACAGGCACTCTGCGTGCCGTGCCCTTCCGGAGTTCTCAGGTCAGGCCGACTTTGAGCCAGCAGATGTCGATGGCCGGCCGATAGACGTGGCTTTCTTCGATGCTGGCCACCTCATCGAGCAGCTTGCCAGCACGAGACTTGCGCACATGTCGCTTGCTGCAAGACGCCGCAAGGTACAGCTTGAAAGCTTTCGAGCGGCTGCGTCCAGCCCTGGCTCCGAATGCCTTGGTCGCCGTGCACGATACGGGTTTGCATGTGCAGCCGGCATGGCCCATGGCATGTCGCATTTGCGCCCGTGTCCGTCCGACGTCCTCCTGCGGTTACCGTCGGCCAGGTCCGGGACTTCGGCTCTGGTGCGCCTCCAGAGGCCGAGATCGGAGAGCTTGACAACGGCTCCGATTTCGCGAGTGCAGGAAGAGGGGCTGCCCTTCAGTGAGGAGAGCTGCGCCCTGCGCCCTGGAGGGGCCGCCCGTTGCGCGGAGCCCCAAAGTGGATGAGTGCATTGGAGAAGAGCCGTTGTGGATTCCTCAGAAATCCATGAAATGCCTCAGTCATCACACGGTCTCAAGCAGGGCCTTAAAGTCCAGCAGGGCCTTAAAGAGCAAGGAAGCTTCGAGTGCTCTCACGATTCGGACTCTGCCGGATCAGTTGGGGTTAGGTGTCTGTATGTGCCATCAAGGAACCACGGGGCTTGCAAGCCCAGTCGGTGGCCAGTCTAAGCAAAGATTCCCCTTCCAGGCCAAAAAAGCCACATTGGGCTTGTAGCAGTGTGAGCCGGTTAGCTTGCCTTCGGACTCTTTCGGATTCACAGAGACTATCATGGTCCTTGATGGCCATGGCCACTCTCCCCTGCCACATCTGCAAAAACAACCCAATTTTTTTCACACAGCTGCATCCGACGTTGTCGATGTCTACGAATCCATGGCCCAGCGCTGGTGGGCGTTGTGCGCCATGGTACTCTTGTGGAGGAGCCTGGGGTCCCTGGTCCGCAAAAAGGAGATGCATAGGGCATAGGTTTTCGTTCTTTGCTGAGAAAAAAGCCGAGGCTCGGAAGCTGCCGAGGCTTCGCCGTGGCCCGCGGCGGGGGCCCGGCACCTTCGGCCGGGGGAGGGCTCGAAAGAACGCGGAAAGCGTCATCCAAGCTCCTTTTCCACTGAGGCAAAACCCGGTCCCTCAAAGCCTCGAGGGCGGAAGCCGGACTCAGGCCGAGGAGCCGAGACTTCCCCACGGCTCGCATCCAGTGCCACAGCCAGTGCCCAGTGCCGCAGCCGTCCAAGGTTTTCGGTCCTGGCGCAGCAGCTGGAGAAGGTGGCTGCCGCAAAAGGAAAAGGCAGCATGGACCGGAAGGTCGAGCTTCTCAAGTCACTTGGATGGCAACTACAGGAGGGCGGCACAAGCTCTTGATGCTTTCGCAGCTCCAGACCGGCTTCCTCCTCCTAAGGGAGCTGTTCGATCAATCGTCTTTGGACGACGCCAAAGCATTGTTAAAGCTGCTAACTCGGTGGGGGCTTCACGGCTCAGCCCAGCTGCGAGTCCCTCGGCTATTCAATTTGTCGTGTTTGGGTCGATGGTAGACCGCTGGACCAAGGTGGGGTCAGCGGTGTTGCAGGCGGCGGTTGCAGACATGCAGCTCCGTACCGAATCTGCTGAGGAGCTTGCCAGGGCTGTGCAATGAGATCGCCCTACAAGGCTGAGACCTTGGTGCAAACAGCAAATTGCAAGGACACCTTGGCCAAGTGGCTAGCCACCGGCGAGGTGGCCGACATCGCAGAGGGCTGGCAAAGGCTGGCGTCGGTTTCAGCTTATTCAGTACACAAGTCGTGCATTGTACTCGGTGCTTGTACGGTGATCGCAGCTCTCTGCCCGCTTCTTTTGACTGTGCTCTTAGTGCTCGCTTCGACGAGTGGCATCGTCGAACAGATGGCTCATGCGGAAGTCCTCCAGCATCTGCACAAGCACTTTTGCACGGTCTGCTCCTGCTCCGGCCGACACAGGAAAAGCAGCCAAAGTTTGTCTCTTCGCTGTGCGCACATCTGTCAGGGTCACAAGTCGTGCTGAAGACCGCGCCATATCGTGCAATGAGCCTTGTTCCCCCTCGGTGCCACGCCGGCTGCTCCTCTCGGTGTGGGGGATCCACCCTCGACACGGAAAGCAGCATCTCTCGCAGAAGCAGTCAGCACTCTGCTTTTCTATTTGCGCACGATGCCGCAGGCTTCTTGAGCAAGAGCCTCGCTCACAGAAAGCCTTGGCCAAGTTCGAAGACTTCACTGTGCAACAGGCTTGGGAAGCAGCCCGGCAGCAAAGAGAAAGGCCAGCGGGCCTCCGAGATGTGTACGGCGCTTGTCAGCAGAGGAGATGGGCAAGTTCACTGAGATCGAAGACAAGGCGCCGGGAGCCGGGGGCCGCCGGCCCGGGTGCCCATGAGACTGAAAGAGCCCCATCTTAAAAAAGCGCCGTCTTAAACGCGCGGCGGCTCGCGGCGCAGGGAGCCGTAGCCCGGCGCACGGCTCTGGCGGCGCGTGTGGCGAGTGGCTGCGGCCGCCGGTGTCCGGCTGGTGCAAAGTATGCCTGCCGGATGCTGTCTCTCAGCGGAAGTCGTTGGGGACTTGCTGCACTTGCGCTTGCCGTCGCGTCATATGTTCATTGAGGCAGAAAGGAAAGAGCCTTGGCATCGGGGCCTCGGATAAGACTGTGGCTCTGGCCTTCACGAAGCATTCGAAGCTTTCTGACGGTGGAAGGTTGCTGGACCCTAGACTGTAAGAGGAGAGTTCCTTGACCTATATTTCTGCAGTCTGCTTCGATGTTTGGATGGTTTCGAGTCAGATTTGGCCACTTAGGAGATGCTTGAGCTGAATCCTGATATCGACGCAGCAGTCGAGAACATAAAAAACGGCAGTGCTGTGGGGACGGGTTCGCCAAAGAGCAGCGCCCGCGCCGCGCACCTGTGGTGGCCAATCTCACCCTCCACCGCAAAGCCGGTGAGGGTCCAAGTAGTGATTGCATCGTTGGGAAATCGTGGTTTGATATGAGAGTACGATCGTAGTCGCATTTGCTGTTCGAGGCCAAAAGCATCGACGAGGTCCTTGCAAAAGTCAACGCAAAGCGGCTCTGATCAAAATGATGTCGCGTGGCATGACTCAATGTCAAAGTGCCACTCCAGTTGCAAGGGGCGCCCCATCCGGCTGGAGGGCTGAGTGGAAGTACGACGGCGAAAGGTTGCAGATCCACGCCGATCAACGGCGAAGGAAGATCCGCTTCGAGTTGTTCTCCAGACCGCGGGCATGCAACGTTTGAGTGAGCTTACGATGCGGGGCTTGTGCAGCCTTTCAGTGCATCGGAATCCCGAGCCTCACCAAGGAAACTTGAAGAACGTCACCGCCCGCTTCCCGGAGATTGCAGAGAGCCTGAAGGCCTGTCCCTTCGAAACCATCATTCTCGATGCAGAAGTTGTGGCGGTTGATGGCGCGACCAGGTTGCACGGACTTGTAAGGAGATAGCATGATTTAAGATGTTTTGTGATTTTCAGTTGCCAGGAGAATGAACTGAAGGCCGAGGTTATTGGTGATACGTAGACTCTCATTCCAAATCCGAGGACAAGATCCTTCCGTTTCAGATCCTGTCGCGACGGCCGCGGGAGGCCACACCGGACTCAAAGCGGTCGGAAGCTCTTCGAAACGCTTGAGGCAACAACTCCCTGTGTAAGTCTTGTCGAAAGACGAGAAGTTCAGCTCAAACTGAGGCAAGTCTACTCAAACTAGGTATGCCTCGACACTTCCAAGGATGTTGCCTTCTTTGCGTTCGACTGCCTGTTCTTGGACGGCAAATCGCTGTTGCGAGAGCCGTTGGCGAAGAGACTTGAACTGATGTAGCTTGGCAGCAGGAGTTGTCCGTGTGTTCGTGGTGACTTGGCGGTGGGGAACATGAGGCAAACAGCAGTCACGCCTGCCAGCGCGAGCAGCCGCCTCAAGTTTGCAGAGGGCACGAGCTTCCAAACCCAGAAAGAGCTGCAGCAGCTTGGGATGAGCTTTTACAGAATCCCCCTTATCTCTCCTGAAGCTTGTACAGGTAAATTAGGTAAAGCCGTGGAGCCCAGGAAGGCACTGGATGTGGCCATCAAGTCCTCGACAGAAGGGCTGATGCTCAAGCAGCTGGATGCTAAATACGAGACACTCGGTGAGATGCTAGATTCGTTTGTTCGAACCTGAATGTGGCCGGAGGGTATCTGAAGTGTTTTCTTTTCTTGTGGGGTTGAGCGGCGGCTGACGCTTCTCGTCTTGGACTTAAGGCCAGGAATCCGGACCTCGAAATGGTTAAAGCTCAAGAAGGCCGCTTTGCTTTTCGATTTGCAAGCTGCTGCAATGGGCTTCTTCTTGGCAGGACTACCTGGACAGCGCGCTCAGCTTCTCGGCATGCACTCTTTCAAAGACTCGTGGTCAAGCTCTAGCTCCCGAAAGTTGAAGTTGCCCAGAATGGCGCAGGTGATTCCATTGATGCTGTGGTGGTGGGAGTCAAGCGTGGGAATGGGAAGCGAAGCAGTGTTTACGGATCTTATCTACTGGCCGTCAGGCCCACCTACTTGGCCTTTCTTGGCAGTTGCCTTCTGCATAGCTTGGCACGTCATGTTTGGGACTTTCGTGCATCATAAATGCGACTGCAGCTGCAGGCAGAGCGATGATGCGGAGGCCACTTACCAGACTTTGTGTGCGACTGGCACGGGCATGACCCATCAGGACCGTTATAACCGCCTTGTGCAAAATGGCTTGGGCGGCTTGGGCTGGGTCCTAGAGAGCCACAGGAGCTTCAGGACTACTACGACCTTTGCCGGCCCTTAGTCGCTGACGGCTGCACCGTGCCTGCGCGATTGCAAACTTCCTGGTCTGGTTCGAAGCTCTCCGAGTCACTGCCCCAAACCAAAGAACCCGGTGCTCTTGCTGGCTTTCCGCGCTGTTTTGAGCGTCAGGTGGCAGTGGATCTCCGACATCTCCAAGGCTCCAGTGATGGATTCCGGGACTCCTAACTTGGCTGCTCTTGAACCATCCCGGCCGAAATCTGACTGCTGAGGAGATAACTGGAGCTGATCTGACAGTCTCTCGCATGCATTCTTGTGCTGCTGGACTCTTGCGGGGCATCGGTGCAGTGAAGGAACAAGGGCCTGAAGGGCTTAGCAAGCTTTCGCCGGCAGACTCCACAGCCTCCAAGCTCTGAAGCTCAGCTGAAGCTTCGCAGGAGAGCGGTCTGGCTCTTCGCTTTCCACGCGTCTTGAGACTGCGGGCTGCGGATGACAAGACCGCCGCGACTCCTGTCTGCAGACGTAGACGAATTTTTGAGTGAAGGCATGTTGCTTGCCTGGCTTGCCTCCTTGTCGCTACTGTTGCTACGGGCGGTATCGCTCCAAGGCAGGCGACGACAGCGGAGCAAGTGCTCGACATGTACCAGAAGCAGCCAGGGGCGAGCGCTGGTACACCAAAGCGCGGAAGGAAAAGGTCACTCACGGGCGTGTTGCAGAGACTGAAGTTGCCAAAGGCCGTGCCAGCGATCTTGCTTGAGTGCATGCACACGTGGGCACTTGCCACTTGTCTCTCAGCTCTTGGGTTTGCCACTGAGGCTATCGATTCCGTGACTGCCAAGGCCAGAGAATCACAGAAAGAGACAGAAGACCGACGAACCTCGACAACGTTCGTGACAGTTGAAACCGATGTGCATGGGTACTGTGTCGGCCGAGCTCATCGCCCGTCCGAAAGGCCCCAGTACTGCAGAAGCGAAAGAGATTTACTGTGTTGTCGTTGGTGTTACGACAGGCAATTCGTCTCCGAGGTCGGCAGACAAGCTTCTAGGACATAGGACCTCGCGGGCACTGGCTCCTGCCAGGTGCTGAAGAGATGGCCGGAATTCCGACCGCTCCACGTGCACTCAAGACGAGTCTTCCGTCACGGTCTGACGCTGCTGGAGACCCAGAGCCACGACACGGAGCATCGCGGGGCTACGGGCATGGGAGCCGAGCCGAGGTTGCAGCGAGGTGAGCTGCTGGGACCGGTCAGACCGACCTGCTTGGGGATTCGGGGGGATGGCTTCGGGCCGGGGCGGGGGCTGGGGGTTGGCTCCGGCTTTGTCAGGACACTCCAGATGGCAGCTTCTGAAAGCAAAGAAAAGCGGCAGCTTCTGGAAGACTTTTGGAATTCTTGGATGATCCGAAACAGACAGCACTTTCCCCTCATCTTGCACTCGCCGCCTGCTCTTCTGTCTCGGCCGTGATCAGGGAAGGGTAGGCTAAGTGTTTGGTTTGCAAAAGCTTACATGTGCACCTGTGTTAAGGGGTTTCGTTCCCTCAGACACATGCGTGAGCAGCTTTGCCATTGGCATCACAAGCTTCAGAACTTTGTCTGCTAGGGCTGCTAGGGCACCACTCTCGTCATGTGCTGCACATTTCCCGGCAGTGGCTGTGAACGCTGCTGCGAGCCGCGCCCTTGCGAGCTGTGACATGCACACGTTTTGGGGCTTCGGGTTCTCCAGCGAGGAGGACTCGACTGTAGAGGCCTTGCCACCGGAGCCAGCAGTTGCCAAGCGCTATGAGACGACGCCAGCTTCCTCCCTCGGGCCTCCGCAAAAGAGCCGTAGCTGGGCCAGTAGCGTCCTTGAAAGCTTCCGCATGGACACCAGGTTCGAGAGCCGAGCAACGAAATCGCCGGGTGAAGAAGATCTCGAGAGTTCCAGCCTGGAAGCCTTTCGCAGTCTGACGCGTCGTGCACATCAACTCCTCGCCCGGCAGCACCATCGGGCGTTGGTGAGCAGGAGGAGGGCGTCTCATGAGAATTCCTACGCCACAGAGCGGCTGATCTTGGCCGAGGCTGAGGCTGATGAATTGGAGGAGGTCCTGAAACAGCACAGTCGAGCTTTGGGATCTTTGGGATCTGAGGAGCACGGCAGTCCCTCTGACATCTGTGACACGGAGCGGCTCACTATGTCCGGTTGGTCAACTTCTGCGGCATCTTCTGCAACGAAGCCCACGGAGCTGCTTTGCAGATGGGAGTCCGAAGATACGGAGGCACGGCAAGAGCTGGAGTCCCTTCAGACAGTGATGTCGCAGACCGCTGCCGAGCTTCGCTCCGGCTTGCTGCACCTGCCCTCTTCGCCAGATTGCGATTTCGCCTCTGGTCATGGCAACGGCGGCCTTTGCCGAGTTTTGTCGGCCGCCCTGCCCCAGCTCGTGCAAAGTTGCGCAGATGCCATGGAAGTGGGCAGCAGCGAAGATGACTGGGCAGGAGCCGAGGCCAGCCTCTTCGAAGCGCTGGTGCAAGTGACGTCTCTTGCACCGTGTGAGTCGGCCTCCGACTTGGATTTCCAGCTCCAAGAAGACGCCTTTGGCTCGAGCCATCAGCTGAGCGCCAGCCCCGAGGAGCAGCGCGACCAAGCGGCCCTCCAAAAGCTGCTGGGGAGGTTGGATGCGCTGAGCCAGCAACTTGAGCTGGAAGCCCCCAAACACCGGAGCAGCCAGAACCAGAACGCTTCTTCGGGTCCGGGCAGCGGCCAGCCCACGAACGCAGCCTCGAACAGTTTCGCCTCTGCGACTCGCCTGGCGGACCTCGAAGCCCAGGTGCAGAGCCTCGTGGCCGAGAACCAGGCAGGAGTGAGGGGGAGCGGACCCTTGCTTGGGACTGCTTGGAGCTCTCCTTGTGTCCTTGAAACAGGCTCTGGAAGAGCAGCTGTCGGGGCGCTTCTCCGAACCAGAGCCGCCGAGTAAGGCCCTCCCAGCTTTGGATCGGGTGGAGCTGCCAACCGGGCCAGCCCTGCCACGTGACGCAGGCCCTTGACATCCTTGGAGTCGCAAGTGCGAACGTAGGGCTTGTGGCACTGCGGGAGCACTGCTATAGCAGGCCGGAGGTTGTCCCCAGCAGCAACTTGGCGCATACCTCAGAGCCTCAGCCTCAGCAGCCTGGGACCTGCCAAGGAGCGCGTGGCCTTGAGCAACAATGTCCGTCAGCGAGGCATCTGCCGTCCCACCATAACAAAATTCAGGGTCCCGTGAGTTGTCTGCCTGGCAGCAGCTTGGCAGCTTGGCAGCCTGGCAGGCAGCAGACAAAACTGCGCCCCAGGGCGCACGCCTCAACAAGTCCGAGCTGCTGACTTGCCGGTGTTTCTGTGCTTTTGCAGGCCACCTGCAGGGCCACGGCAAAGCTCTGAGCCAACGAGGTGCCACCAGCTAGAGCGCTCAGAGGGCTCTCTTGCTGTGCCTATGTCACTGGACTAGACAGGCAAATCATCAATGATCTGCGCGCGGAGCTGGCGGAAGCCTATGAGGCGCGTCCAGACTGACAGGTGACATTCAAATAGTATCGCTTTATACCTGATCCTGTCAACATCGATGAGGCCTTGGCGTTGGCTCGGCCCCTGCCTTAGTTTGTCGCCAATGTCCAGCAGCCAGCATGTTTGCAGGTTAGGGAAACCCCCCCGACAACCCACAACCGTTGAGGTCTTCCGCCTGGCCCGGGGTTTCAGCAGGCCGCACAGGAACAGCGCGCTCAGCGCAGCCGCTGACACAAGTGCAGTCTTCACTTCTCGGGAAGGCCGACCGGCCCAAGACCCTGAGTCCGAGGCACGTGCGGCACAGCGCATCACCACACGTCTCAATGACTCTACAACCTCCCACACACACACACTCACTCACTCTCTCTCTCTCTCTCTCTCTCTCTCTCCCTCCCTCCCTCCCCTCGTCTCCGTTTCTCTTCCTTGGGTGGTTTGTTCCTGACCCGGTGCTCTTGTACGCCTTCTTGGCTCGAGCACCTGCACCGGCCTCCCCGGCCCCCTGGCCCCCTGGCCCTTGCAGCTTTCTCAAGCGTCACCCAGAAACGGGTGGAGAGGTCTTTTCCATGCAAACGGAATGTTACAAGTAGCCGTCCGAACGCGCCCTCCTCTCCCCCGGCCAGGGTCGAGGCAGGTTTTCGCGACGAGCGCGAGGGCCGCGAGGGAGGAGTCGAAGGCCAAAGGCCCCCAAGCCGTGCCTTGCCAGGATCCCTGCGAATGGCACGGCAAGCTGCGCGGTGCAGGTCCGGCGGCGCAGCGGTGAAGCAGGCCAGCGGTGCCAGGTCCTTTGGCCAAAGGGGCGGAGAGAGAGAGTTTTTGCAATTCTGATTCTTGAGGCACCGTAGCTGCGGCTGCAGCCGCAGTAGTTCCGTTTCTTCCTCGACGCGGGAGAGGACAACTTTTGGCTTCATCTTGACATTGAGCGAGGGTTTGGGTGGCAGAGCTCTTGCATTCGTGAGTCCAGCTGTAAAGAGCTCTTGCAGGAGGCAGGAGGCCTTTCCGGCCCATGAGAGCAGGGAGGTCAGACCTTGAGGCTGAGGTTACAGCCGCAGTGGAGGCAGGGCTGGCTATCGGTCAACACTTACGACGTGACAACAGTGCATGATACTTGCAGGTGGTCCAGCGCTCGATGCGGTGCTTCTGTTGCAAGCGGAGGATGCCACGTCATTTTAGTGTCTTTGTGTGCACTTTCCGAGGCTTGTGCAAGCCCTGGCCTGTGACATGGACGCCTCTCTGCTGCATCTTCCAAGGCTCACAAGGCCCCTCTGTCTGGTTCGATAGCATGATCGCAGAAGATGCAGCGGCACGGATTTGTTCCTTATTGCCTGATTCGTAACGGAACAAAAGGGAAGATGGTGAAGTGTGGCCCATGATCTCTTGAGGTTGCTCCGCCATCGTTGGGGAAAGAAATGGAAGCTTGCGACATTACGGCTGGCATTTCTGCCATCAAGCCAGGCGCCCTTCGGAGTTAAAGGTGGCAAGAAGGTTCGAAAGGTGAGAAGATGGGAGAAGCAGCTTTTTTGGTAGTCGGGCAGGTGACTCGACGCCTGTCACAGCGGCAGACTATGCCATTCAAGGTCTTGTCTTTGAATGCCTGCAGAAACAGCTGCTTGCTTCCGTTGGTGGTGCGTGGCGGCCACTGTTCTTGTCGAGTGACCTCTTTCCGAGCATGCTGGCAGTGCCGAGGTTCCCTTCGGATAGGTTCATGGGGGAGGAGGATGCTGCGGATCTGCGTGCTGATGCAGATCTTTGCGGACTGGCGCTAGATGCTTGACGGGACAAGGTGCTCGCACGCAATGAAAACTGCAATAACAGTTGTACCATGCGGCAACGAGGTTTGTCATGGGATGGTACAGCTGCTTCAGGCTTGAAGTCTGTGCCCAGCGGCATTGAATCGAGTTCTCGCTGCGCAGCCGAGGAGCTATGCTCGAAGTTCGGTTTCCTGGCATTCATCATGTCAGGATATGGCCCAAACTTTGCAAAGACCCGACTGTGCGGTTGCCAGAGGTGACAGCAGCATCACGAAAGAGTCCTTCTTAGCTGCAGTTGATGTGGGGCTGGTGCCGCCTCAAGAGGGCGAGAACCGTCGAGTCTGGGTAAGCTCGGCTTCTTGAGAAAGGCGATCGGAGACGGCGCAGGCTGGGGTGAGTTCTTCTGTCCTTGCCAGGTTCTCGACCCGATCGATGGCACCAAGGGCTTTTTGACGGGCCAGGGCTACGTGATCGGCCTGTCGTTGCTGATGGATGGCGAAGCCCTCCTCGGGGTGATGGGCTGCTCGATCTACCTTCAGGCTTGCTATGGAGGTGCCTACTCTTCGAAAGGCCTTGTACACTGTTGGAAGGAGCATAAAAAAATCCCAGATCGCACTCAATATCTAGTGTTCGCATGTATCGCGGGATTGTTCCCAAGGAGCTTTGCGCTGGATTGAGGTGCAGGAGTGCCTGAAGTTCTTGGGGTCAACGGGGTTCAGGAGCGGCTTTCGCACTCCGGACTGTGGATCCTCCTAGTGGGGCATTGGCATGGTGCCTTGTGCATTCTGGTGCTTCCCCACCTAGGCTATCCCAATGCACCTCGGCAGATGAGGGCGGGATTGGATGCGAAACTGGGTGAAGCACCTTCCAGCAAGCTAGCTGGCAGCTGCTCTGCTGAGGCCACCGCGACTCCGCCCATCATGCTTGCCGTGCTTCACAGGCATATGGTATGTTAGTATGTTGTGCATCTGGTCAACTCTCGTGGAAGATCCTGCGCCCAGGTGAAAGGCCACGGGCTTCGCTGGTGGCCTGCAGAGGGGCCGGGCCCGCTGGAGTACGAGCCTCCAAAACCAGACTGGGCCAGTCAAGGCGCAATGCGGAATGATGCGCAATGCTACAGGACGAGCCGACGTCGCACGGACCGTTGGGGGTGTGCACTCTTTCCGTAGCCGGCGCATGACAAGCCAGGCCATGACTGCCCTCCTTGGCTCCTGTCTCCGCAGAGCACGCGGGCTGCCTGCAGGCCAGCATGTGCCGTGGGGTGCAGCAGCACAGCAACAAGCGTGCAGGCCGTTTGGCGATGCCCCAGCCACAGACATGCGCCTTGGGCTTGAGCTGGCTTCAATTCGCCAGATGACAATTGTTCTTATCATGAATCCTTATATGGATCAATTTATTTTGGGGATATATCGCCGGAGTTTGTTCACCTGCATGCGCACGGTTGGAGGTGCTGCGGCTCCATGGTGAAATACTTTGCTGTGGCTGCTGGAACTCATTGCGGGTATGTGGCTTGAAGGCAAACTGCGGCTGGCTCACGGTGGTCTGGGAGCAGGACACTATTGTTCCTGGAGCTAAGGTTCAGTATGAGGAGCAGTTGAAGACGTGGGACCATGCTTGTTTCTTGGCTGGTTTTCTCCAGTTTCGACTCGGAAGGGCAGACATGGATGTATTGTCTCCGCGATTGGAGGTGGCATCCTTTGCGTCCAGGAGTCTGGTGGGGCCGCGTGCGTGACCGATGCAGCTGGACAGCCGGTCGCGAACTGAGTGGTGCATAGTTTATCTGCTTGGTTCCTTACCTTTGTTGATTGTATTCATTTAAATTTTTGCATGTCTACTTACGTACGTACATAGGAACTTACGTTCGTACCCAGAAGGTCGGTCGATCAGTTTGTACCAGTAAGTAGGTGTATTATGTACGTATGTCTGTGTTCGTATATGTGTATATGTGGGTACTTGCATATATGTATACCTGCAAAAGTGTATATGTGCACATGCGTCCATGTGTATGTATGGGTGTTATGGATCTATGCCTGAGTTGCTCGAGCATGCTCGAGTGCGAGTGCTGAAAATGGACGTATGAATGTTTGTACGGATGGATGTATGTATGTATGTATGTAAGTCCGTACGTACGTATATGCGCAGGTCGGTAGGTAGGTAGTAGGTCGCGAGGTAGCTGGGTAGGTCGGTAGGTATGCAAGCATGCATGTATGTGCCAACCCGCAGACTTGCGCACTGTCGAAAGAGAGGTGCCGATGACTGCCTGTACAACCCCAAGTTTGAAAAAAAGAAAACGCCTTCACTGCCTGCGGTTCTGTCGCTCTCGTCCTGCGACTTGCGGATGCTCTGTGCATGCACAAGCTTATGTACACGCGTGTTCCAACACATTAACTACATCGTACATGCAGGCATGCATACGTGCAAATCAAAAAACGGGGCACGTGATTACCTACACACGCCTATAATGTACATGATGTATCTCTGTATGTATACACATACGCAGACACGCATTTTAATCTAGATGTTCGGACTGCCGCACGAGTCGGAGTCTTGCTGCAAGAGTTTGCAATGCATGCCAAGGTAGTCTTCCCTGGCCGACGCTCCTCTCAACAGAAATCAGAGTCGCTTGTCTGCAGCACAGCCTCAATGCCCCAAAGAGCCAGATCCAGGCAAGTTTTCCGTGCTCGGTGGCATCGTTTCGTGCTCACGCTGGTGCACGTCGGAGATGCGAGAGCTACTGCTTCAGGCCACGGCAGAGATCACCTCAGTGGATCGGGCTTTAGGGAGCATGTGAAAAGTTTCTGAAGAGGCTCCGAACACAGCATCACCGAGCGAAGTTTCAACATGAGCCCGGCGGGCCGTTGCTTAGTCATCTTGCTGGCAGTGTACCCGGCGACGAGAGCCCGGATGCAAAAACACAGGTGAATCAGAGTCGACGTGATAAAACGCAACAACAGGGATGTCGTATTGAGGAGGACAGGGACAGAAGAACAGCAATACTCAATCAGGCAGATCATCCAGGCGAACTGACGAATCGAAAGCCCGGTGCAACATGCGAACCATGAGAAGAACAGTGTCGATCTTCTCTTGTGCCACATGTCGTTCCTGTGAGTCTCGCTTGAGCAAATTACCATTTCTTGTCGTCCCGGGCATGTTGCCCCGCCTTGTAAGTCTGCTCTCAAACCATCCAAGGGCCACTCAAGGACCATAGGCTCTGAAGGACAGGATTTCAGAACCTCTGACAGCTAATTACTCATATCGCAGTGGGGAGAGATCGAAGCATAGTTTGACTGCTCTTTGAAAGCCAGGCTGCCGCTGGAAATGCATCAGAGGGGAAGTAGCCGGATTCTAGAAGGGCCAAAGATGCCCTTCCTCAGCATCAAAATGTTTCGTAGCTTGCACCCCAAAGTCTGGGTCGATTGTCGACGCGGAAAATTCAGTTCCTGCAGGCATTGCAAAGCTCCCGAACAGTCGCCAACGCCAACGCGAGACAGCTGCCAAAAGCAGGTGCGGGACGTTGCTGCCATCGTGTTTCGCAGTCCCCCGTTAGAGGCCCAGTGGGTTTGGCAAGGCATCCTGTGCATGACATGTGGTGTTGAAAGGGATGTTGCCAGTAGATGAAGAACACGATACCATGTGCGGAGTAGACCGCTGGTTCGCCACGTCCGTGCCTTGGTGCCGAGGTGACGTTGTGAGATAGCTGATAGCTGGGTATTCCTGAATCATTCTCGTTCTTGCACCGTGTTTCTCACGAGCACTCCAAAAGAAGAGCTGCCAATGTTGCAAGCGGCGCACGATCGCTGAACACGCCGAGTCTTGGCGGAATTAGATAGGACGCCAAGACGAGGCTGGTTCATTTCAACACGCTCAGTTGGGCCGAAACACTGCAGCTCGGTGCACCGCATGTTGCCTAGCGGATGCGGCTTGCGTGACTGCTCACTTTGACCGGAGCTCAAATGACCAATAGCAGCATTCAGAGCATACCGAAGTATCATCCACTGCACGCTGAGACCAACAGACCCTTCACGCTTTCAAAGAAGAGAGAACGTCTCAATGTGCAGCATTGCAGCCAAGAAGGACCAGACCAGACTCTTTCACTGCAGCCCCGGAGTAGGCGAGATGGCGGTGGCAGCAGACGAACGAATGACCGATGATACTTCAAGGAGACCATCCCGTTGAGGGGGAAGCGCCCTGCAGCGTGTTTTGGAGGTCCGCGCTTGCGTCAGGACGGTTGTCCAGCGGCTCAAGAGCCTGTACATGGACCTGCTGAGGCACCTTGTTGAAGCATTACAGTAGGGCCTAAGGGCAGGGAAGGTCCCTGCTGGGGCATCGCTGAGGCCCATCGAGGTCGACAGCTTCTTCTTGCATTTCAACAGCGAGTCGACCTTGACGGTTTCAGAGCTCGAGGCACGACCACAAGTCTTGCTGATCGGCCAGCTCCTTGTGCTGCATCTGGCAGTATGTCAGTATGCCTGTGAAAAGAAGTGGTTCTCCATGTCGGATGCAATCCTCGGCGGCATGGGCGGGGGATTGAGGTATAGCACCGGCAAGACGTCACTCATTAAATGGGTCACGGGCATCGAGAGCCCCTTCTTTGACATCCGGCCCCAGCCTAGCACGGACAAGTTCATGGCCGTCGTACACGGAGACGAGGAGAGAGCAGAGACCAGAGATGACCAGAGTGTAGAGAGCGTCGAGCGCGGGGTCCCGAACAGAGCTTTCTCGCCTTTTCGTTTGATTCGATTGTGGCGGAAGGAGAAGGTGATCAATGGGGACGCTGCCTCTCGCTTGCATTGCCAACCACGATATGGAAGCGACCTCGCTTGAGCCGACACTCACGACGTGGTGGTGTTACTCTGCAGGCGACCTGCTTGCCGGATCTGCCCTACAGTGGTCTATCCCGGTTCGGCTCCTCCTTCCTTGGAAAGTGGCCGGGCTGAGACAGAGAGGCCTAGACTAGACCCAGTCTGCTGCGCAAACCCATCAGAAGAATAGCGAGCAAGAGTCAGAATGCAAGACGATGGGACAGAAAAGGGGCTCCATGAGCCCGGGAGAAGAAGACCGAGACAAGACGAGAAGCAAAGAGCACGAGAGGTAGTAGCAAAGCCCACTGTGACACCGCCGACGGCATGCAGAGCATTGCGGGAAGTTGTGGTTGTCTCTCCAATGGTGGACACTGAGGTCTGCGGAAAATATCAGACCAGTGATGTCATGTAGCTATCCGTGGCGCAGGGAGCGTGCTTTCTCTGCTCAGATGGTGTGAGACCGTTCTCCTAATCCTTAAGAATCCCCTGTTCACTGCTGGATGGTTGCAAACAGGAATGACGGTGAGACTGGCTTTCTAATGCTTGCTCAGTTTGTCAGGATGGCTACTTTGAGGGGCTGTCTTGAGAGATGAACGATTCCCAGGATTCTGAACTGACTACAACATGAGGGGTCATCAATCTTTGGAGAGGTGCGCTGATGTGTACAGAGAGAAATGAATTTCGAGCAATTGCTGTAGGACCGTCATAATATTGATGGACCATCTGACGACTTGTTCATCTTAGATGATCGATGGAATGCGATGCCTGCCGTACTGGGGCTCTTGCATGTAACAATCTACCCCCATGAATCCTCGCCTGTGGACATTGATGCCAGCCATGCGAGAGGGAAAAAAATCCTTAAGGAAGACAGCATGCTTACGGCTGAAAGTCTTAGACAAAGAGCGAGAGACGCAGAGACTGCCAACGTGATTGCTCCCGCCTTTAGGGGCTGGCGGAGTCACATTGCATTACCGAACTAGGTAACTGGGAGGGGTCCCAAAGCAATTGGCAATGGGCTGAGGGCTCGGCACCATGGCCGGGCTTCCTGCGAAGTGACTTGCGCCTGGTGCCTTGCGCCTTTGTGGGACTGAGGTTCCAGGTTTTGGTGGAGAGCGCGGACATCCTGAAGCAGGCCCATCGGCACGGCAGACATTGTCGTAGCTCACAGTGCAACTTGCTCCGTGCAGATTACCTTCATCGACACCCCTGGGGTCCTGTCTGGCGACAAGCAGCGCATCAGCCGTGGCTATGACTTTATGAAAGTCTGCCGCTGGCTGGCCGCGCGGTCTGATCTCATCCTGCTGCTGTTTGATGCCCACAAGCTCGACATCTCCGATGAGTTCAAGGAGGTTATTGAGTCCATCAGGAGTGATGGCGACAAGTGCCGGTGTGTGCTAAACAAGGCGGATGAAATCGATGGTGAGAACCTCGTCAAGGTGTACGGTGCCTTGATGTGGAATCTCGGCAAGATTCTCCAGACCCCGGAGGTTGCGCGTATGTACGTGGGATCCTTCTGGGACGAGGATTACAAGTGCAAGGACCTCGAGCGGCTCCTTAACCAGGACCGCTAGAACTCGCACGCCACATACCGCAATCAAATTTAAAGTGTCGCGAAGTTCGTATTTGTCGGGTCGATCTGCAGGACCGGAAGGACCTGTTGCAAGAGTTGCGTGATTTGCCACGAAATGTATGCGTCCGGCGAGTCAATGAGATTGTGGCACGGGCGAGAGCTGTCAAAGTCCACCTCGCTCTGTGCCACTTGGCCCGTCCAGATTTGTCTTCGCGTCTCGGGTGGAGAGATGCACTTGACACGTTGCGAATGCCCCCTACAATCCTAGGCTGTGCCCTGCGTGCTCGTCTTCCTGCCTTTGGATTCTGCGGTCGGAGGCACCGGCATCAGCTGTGGCTGTCGGAGCATCTGCCTGAAGTCTACGCCGAGGTGATGACACTTGAAACAGCAACAGATGTGGGGTGTTACTGTTGCATCTGTCAGTCTGCAACCTTGCGCATGGAGCAGCGAGCCATAGCAAGCCGCAGTAAGGAAGGACTATGAGCTCCTTGGATTGCCAGTATTCTTCCGCCGCCCGGCCCTCGGATCCAAAGCCTCGAGGCAGCCTTGTCGCAAGGTTCGCACCTGGCGACATGCCGCACGTGGAGTACTTCGGTCAGCGGCTGCGTGCCTTCAAAGACTTCAGGGCCTTTCAGAGGCCTGGACTCCGAACAGTCTGAGACGGACAGAAAGACCTCAAGCTCTGCTGTGCAGGTCCTGCAAGGCACAGCAGGAGACGCTGGACCGGCTGATCGCCACTGAGATCCCGCGCCTCATGGCCATGGTCGGGGGCATCTCCGCCTCGGAGCTGGGTCAGAAGGCTAGTCGCGCGGGGTACGACTGCAAGTTGGGGACTTGGGCCACGTACTGCAAAGATCTGCAACGCCTGCGAAGGTCAACGGCAAGTCCAGCGGCTTCACGTGGAACAGCTCCGTGACGCGACCCTCGTCTGGCCCGAGCCTCTTTGACCTCGATCAAAGCAGATGGAATGCTCCGTTGCGTGAGGTGACAGCGGTCGCTCGGGCTGTCTCTGCCTGTGCCTGCTGCTCTTCCTTTCGCTTGCTGCCAGCTTGAAACGATGAGAGAAAACTCCGTGGGAAGATTTTCAGCCCTTGTGTAATGTCGTGCTTCTCAGCTGAGGCTCTCTTCCCGCTGGCGGCGGTAGTGTTCGTTGGGCAAGCCGAGGCAAGGATACGAATAGGGGTGGCCGGAGATGACTTTCCTCCAGCGACTCCTGTTGTCTTGCACGGCATCGTAATCGTATCCTGTTCCCAGATAGTTTCGCCTCCGAAACGGTGGGAGGCACTTGCTGCACTGGATCAGCTTGTGGATCTGGCTGCGAACTTTAGCGGGAATTGGACGGGAAACCTGAACGCGCTGCCATGGACAAAGCAGCTCCTTCGCGAACCCCGGTGGCATCACGTTGAACCCCCTCAACCCCTGGCGATTTTTTCGGCTGCTGCCTCCTGTATCCTCCTGTGATGATGCAGCGTAGAGATTAGAGCTTCTAGTGCATGCACCTGTGAGGACTTCACCGGAGAAGAACTCTGATTCGGAAGTGGCAAGGAGCGAGCCTAGCTCAGTTGCTCGGCGCCGCTGCGTGCACGCTTTCACCAGCGCCAAGCCATAGGCTGCCCAAGTATGCGTGAACCAGAGACTAGGATGAACATGTGGAACAGGATGAACATGTGGACATCAAGCAGGTCGAGGTTAATTGTTCAGAGAGCCCGGTGGTGAGGCCGGTGCAAAGCATTGACGGCAACACGTTTGGTGTTGCTTTCGATAGCTCGCACGCACGACCGCCTGTGTTGCTAATGTGGGTCAGAGGGCTGTAAATTTGCGGCCTGCTCGCTGAGAACGAAAAAAGCCTCGCGCATCTGGATTGGACGTGTACCGTTCCGAAAGAATTGTGGTTTCTGCAACCAGGCATGGGGCGAGGGTTCCACCTGAAAACTGCTCTCCGATGTGACCTAGCTCTTGAGGCAGAGCTAGGACGAGGACTCGTCCAGAGATCTCGTACAAGTCTTAACATGTCTTAACTCGGGCATTGCTAGTGAGCCGATGGCCGTTCATTCTCGTGGGCGCATTCTTGATGTCACCGTCGGATTTTTGGACGCTGCATTTTCTGGCTCATAGGCAGCAGGGGAACACCAGTGAATACCCTCTGCCTTGGGCCGAACGCTGTATATCATGCATCAAACATGATCGGGGCTGGCTATATGCCCATGAACTTACCCAGACGAAGCAGCAGAACTCTTCACCAGATCTGCTGGAACCTTCCGCAGCCACTCTAGCATGGCTGCTTTTGCAACTCATGTGGTGGAAGACTTGGTCATTTCCGGATTACAACTTTGTAGCATGTCGCTTCAGCTGCTCTTCAGCTTCAGCTTCGTCTCGAGGTTCTTTCTTTGGCCCCTCTGCCGCCGCGCGACTAACGACAAAATTGCGGGCACAGGCTGAATGAGCACCATTTGGCCTCAACTCGATGGTTTACCGATTCCGTATCATGTCTGGAGTCGGCCCCCCGACCCCGGCCATGGAAACCAGTGGAAACCAGTTTGCTTAGCAACCTTCGCCGTGTGTTGAACCTCCTTGATCACTCGTGATTTGTTGACATGTTTTGGATTTTACTTGTTGGGTACACGAAGGAAGCCTACATGTGTCCCAGCTACGGAAGCCTAAAGCTGAACCAAGAAATCAACTGGATCTGTCATATCATGGTTTGGGAACAGGCGATTTTGCTTCAAGCGTTCGACTTCACAGTTCTCGCGGCCCAGTCTTTGCCGATTGAAACTGTCTCTCATCATGGCTGCGCCGTCTGGTCAGGGAGGCTTGCAAAATCACATCCTTTTCTGAACATACATTCCTTCTGGCTACCTAGCTTCTGCTACTGGCTAAATCAGGAACACAGACCGGCATACGTAAGACCATAAAGGTTGTCCGACAGTGCCTCAAGCCCTTCCTTCAATTCGGCATTTGTTTGTAGATGCACCTGCAACACCCCCCAGCGACTAATTCATTGCCATTTGAGTGTCATGCGGGGCCGTCGGCCAGAGATCATGCATATGTGCAGGCCTTGATGTTTGATTTCGATGATCTGGAGAGAGTGCTCTCTGAAGACGAGGCACGACCTGATGCCTGGGCTTATCTGTTGGATGGACATGACAAAAAGCGGAGTGCCGACTGTTGCTTGTCCTGTCACGGGGCTGCGCGTGGTTTTGAGGTCGAGGCGCATGAGCTCTGCATCTATTCTGCTGGTTGCATGTCTATACATCCGCGGGTGTCTGGGTGTGTGTGTGTGTGCGTCCCTGGCAAAGAGCCGACATTGGAGCATGGCAGATATCGCAACCATCCCGGCCACGGACCATCCACCGCATTATTTTCAATTCGCCTTGGGTTGCAGGGGAGACGGTCAGATCATGAGATCCCATGAGTGCCCCGGGGGTAGGTTGCGAGTTTGTGTCTGTCTCTGTGTCGGTGTGTGCTCGGTGAGCTCCGGTTGATGGTGCATGTAAGTCGGTGGGCCTGCCGCGAGGGGAGCCATGCTTCGGACGCGGAGGGCCTGGCGCAGCCCAGACCGAAAAAGCCTGTTCAGGAGCATGGTCACGCTGCCTGGCTACCATTGCCCACACGTGATGGTGTAGTTGTGGCTTCCACCAGTGTTCACATGCCGCGTGGTGCACATGTTGAGGTGCGCATCTGGGCAATATCCGATCTCCATACGGACGATCCCAAGAATAAGGCTAGGAAGAGGGACTGCTGAGCTTTGCTACTAGAGAAGGCACCTCTCAACGTGTCAGCACCCTGGCGAAAGGAGTGGCTTGAACACATTGACACCAAAGACACAGCCAACGATGTCATCATAGCAACATGATCTGCAAGTTGTGCTTGCCTTCTCCAGATCGGAAGGTGTTTGGCGCTTTCCTGTTTCTCATGTCTCCACCTCGCACAGGTAGCTGGGGACATTTCTCACAAGTCGGCCACTGAGAAAGTGCCCCGTCCCAGCTTGCAAACACAAGCAAGCATCTCCTGGCTTCACCTGGAGGTGGGAAATCATTCGTGCCACCTTGACCTTCTTCAAGGCAGACATCTGGCAGCTCGTGGAAGCGAGACGTGTTTGACCCGGAGGAGCACTATGGCCGGGTGTTCTATGTTCCTGGCAACCACGAGCTGAGCCCTCAGAAGACCATGACATGACAGTTCATTGTCTGCAGAATTCACTCCATTGTGATGTGTGTCGCGCCTTGTCGCCATGTTTCGTTTGCGTTCTTGTTACATGCGGCAGCTCGATTTTCTCAGCTTGGACCTGGTCCATCCCGCTGCCATCTCGTGTTCGAGTTAAGAATATTAAGAATGCCGCTCGTGTTGATTTGTCGTCGATCATGTCATGCTGTATGATTTTTAGAAACTAGACCTAGAGTTTAGAGAAGATAAGCCGACTGCTGCTTCGTGACGCTGCCTTTGCTTCAAGACCTGGTGATGCGAGCATCGCTGCGCTGTGTAACATCTTCGTCGTTGCCATGGCGAAGACGGTCAGCCACACATAGGTGGGATGTCGCTCAGCTCCAGATTGATTGAGCGATGTGAGTTTAGGAAAACGCCCTGGCAGTTATAAACCTTTCTGTGCACACATCCCCAATAATGCCTCGGAGCCCAAGTGCTTCAGGCCTAGCCAGATTTGCCGCACATCCATGTATGCAGGACTATGGAAGAATGCTTGCTAGTCCGTGCTGTGCGCAAGTCCTGTTACATCTGCTTCGAGTCTGCGATGCAGCCAACAACAATTTCACGCATGTGCGTGACACACTGCATTCGGATGGGAACCGCCCAAGCAGGGTTGAACGTTGTGAGGGATTTGGCACACGGCAGACGGCTTTTGCACGGCACAGTCGCATGCTGACCGAGTGCGCTGCCGAGGACCAGGGAATCAATCTGGGACTCCTTCCTCCTGCATGCACGGCCTGCGCGCCACGCGAGTGGTGTGCGGCTGCAAGAGCAACTGTGGCATCAGGTGCTGCCTGAGCATGCCCGGGCTGGCGTGGCTATGACATGGGCTGATCTGTTTCATGGCCTGGCCAGAAGTGGAGCCTTCGAAGAGCGCCTTGCTTGGATTAGAGCAATCCGTCTTCACTGCATTCTATCAGTGCATTGCAGGCTTAATACTCGTACTGCAGTACCGGAAACCAATGAATCCAGAAGTTAAAATAAAATTACATCTCGATTTAATGGTCGGTTTTGACTGACCTACCCTGGACCTCCCAAAGACACAATTAAATCTGGAGTTTTTGTGTTCCTATGCATTAGGAAACATTTAGCTCTTGGATTCACTGCCTTCCAGTACCGAAAACCAATGAATCCCCCTGCAGTACCATGCAGTCCTGGCCAAAGCCACTTCTGATTCGCACGCGTCTGCCCAAATTTGAGACCCCTCTCTGGCGACTCGAGCTTTGGGAGCTCCAGAGTTGTTTGCAGTGGAGCAGATGCTCAAGAGCTCAAGAGCTCCTCCGTGGCCTGGCGCTTGTGCTTGTCCCTGGCAACTTCGGATAAGCATCATTTCCGCATTGTACAAGGACATATGCGCAGCAGGACTCTCTGCTGGAAAACTTCGCTCATCTGCATATGTTCTTGTACAATGCGGAAATGAGGCTTAGCAGACCAACCCCACCGAGAAACAAACCGAAGTTGGCAGAGAGAAGTGCTAGCGGGAGGCCATGGACGAGCTCTTGCATCTGCTTCGCTGGTCCAGCCCGGTCAGCATCGACAAAATTGCCAGTGGTCGCCGAGGTTTGCAGAAGACTATTCTAAGGAAGCGTAGTGGCGTTCCGTTGATTCAGACACAGGAGGAAATCAACCCATCACTTAGCTTGTCACGCAGGCTTTCTTTACTTGGAATAATCAACGCCGCTGCTCGTCGACTGTAGGTGACGTGCACCTTGCGAGATCTTTTGTGGTCCTCTCAGACTAAGAGCGGGGAGCACTGCCGCTTGTAGAGAGTCGCGGCCCAGCACTGCGACTGACAAAAATCCAACGATCAAGACATCTGGCTTGCTTGCACATGTCTGTTTTGAACTTCATCACTTGGGCCGAGCTGCTTGAGTGAGAGCACGAAGCATTGTTTTTGCCACTGAGCTTGAATCGCTGCAACGTTGCTCCTGAAAGGCTTTGGGTTGGTGCAGCGCGATGGCCCTTTCTGCTGCCTCGGCTTCGATGTGTGCAAGGAGTCTCGTGTATGGCGGTCTTGATGACCTTCACCCTTCCACTCCCGCCCCTAGCAAAGCCGACAGAAGCCACCAAACGTGTTTGTTGTGCTCCGAAGAACGGATGTCGACTGCAGTCAAACACAGGAGCTCTGAAGCTGGAGGACATTGCCGATGGCCTCGCTGTTGCCAATCGAGTGGGAGAGAAGATTCCGGCTGCCATTGGCCTCTTGTTGCCTAGTCCGGGTATTGATGAGACGTACATAAATTCGCAGCTGCCGCCCGTGACATGCCGAGCAGATCTCGAAGAATTGCTGGGTTTCGGCACTATATTCCTGAACGCAGCATCTAAACACTGGAGATCCCTCGCCAGGATTTGCCAAGACGCCGGCGCCGCTTTCGCCTTCCCTGCCAACATCAACGTTTACATCACGGCTCCGGGGCGCAGAGCATCGACACGACCGCATGCCGACCACCATGACGTCCTGATCCTCCAGTCGGAGGGATGCAAGCGCTGGCAAGTTTTCGCTCCTCCGCAAGCCTGTTCTGAAAGATTTCAGAAACACCCGCTCTATCGGGGCAAGGGTGATGATGTACTGAGCAAGGAGGAACTGGGCGAGGCGCTGCTGGACGTCACCTTGAGACCTGGAGAGTGCCTATTCATACCCTCCGGCTTTCCACATGCGACAAGCACAGCTTGTGAACACAGAGCAGCGATGCCAGCCGCGTCCGTACACCTCACGCTGGGCCTTTCTGCCGCGGATTGCGGGCTTACATACCACACGTCGCCTGCCATGACATGGTTGCCTTGCCTTTGGAATTCCATTGAGCCAAGAGAAGCTATGTTGATGCCAATAGAATCTAATCATCCCAGTCCTAGTCATAGTCGCCTCATGTCGCCTCTTGCGAGGTTGGCCGGGCAAGTGCTACTGGAAATGGGTTTGGAGCCGATTTGCGAGGAGGAGCTCGCAGAAACCGTCTTCTGGGCCCTGCAGCGGCCGGTGCCCTTGGGATGCCTGGCCCAAGGAGCTGCCCGCCAGGACGTTGTGCGGCACCTTGCTACCGAGCTCCGGCGCGTGGCGTCAGAGCTTTCTCCCAGCAATGAAGTGCTCGAAATGGGACTCTGGGATGCAGCTTCCCTCGTAGCATCGCGCTGGCATGATATTTGGGCAGACCTCCTTCAGATCCACCACGAAGGCTACGAGGCTGTGATATCGGCACAAGCTGGCAGCAGTGTGGTTGCAACTGGGCTCATGGGAACCTCTGTCTTTCACTCGTTGCCTCGGCCATGCAACGACGGAGCTTTCGACGGCATGGAAGACGAGGCACGAAGTTTTGTTTCCGCATGTCCGGTTATCGTGTCTCCCTGGTTGCAGGGCGCAGCGGACCCGTTCATCGTTTCTGCCACGTCTTCCGCCGCCAAGTTCTGCGAGTTCATCCGCGCGCGCCTGCCGGCTTTGGAGCTGCGGCTCGGCCTTTCCGGAAATCTCTCTTTGCGAGTCCTGACGGAACACAGCTGCAAGTAGCCGAGTAGCCTTGCATGCCTGAGGAGGTGGAGAGACGTCTTCAAGGTGCAGCTGTTTCTTATTCCCCGACTTTTGTTGTGTCCCGGTGGCCAGCTTGCGCGTATCCCGATACCTGATGTAGCTGCTGTCACTGACTCATGTTTGGCAGGAGAAAGCAAGCAATCTGAAGATCCCTCCTATCATCTTCGAGGCTGTCGACTAAACTACCTCACGGCCAGCAAACTGCCCGCGGACCATCGCTGGTAACTTGCTCAAGGAATTTGTCGCCTGATCATGGGGCAGAAGCAGGTCAGCCGAGCTCGTGCAACTCCTCACTCGGCCCGTCGCCTTCTGCTGAAGGTCAACATCCCTTCAACGCGAGCCGCGTGGTGGTTGCCATCCGATGGAGCGAGGATGGCACGGAAGGGGGCTGCAGAGTAGAGGTCGCGCTTGAAGAACGTCAAAGCAGGCGGAGTGTAGACGGAAAAGCTGGCCACAGCCCCATCGCTCGCGGGATTTTCTTCTTTCGCCTCGCCGCCCAGGCTGTGGGGTGGTGCAGAGGAGGTCGGCGGTTTTCTTGTTGAGCTCTGACCATGACTGGATCCCCAAGCCTTACACGCCTGAAGCCGAGAGTCCTGGTCAAGCTAAGCCAGCCACCATGGATCCCAAAACTGCAACTGGGGAGGGAGGGAGCGCAAGCAATGCTTGGCCTTGTCCCTGATGTCCCAGCTTCTACTATTTACCCGGTTGCATCTCCCGGTTGTGGAAACCTTGCTCTGTCTCGCTAGGAGATGTCTGAACAGGGTTACCCGAATCTGCAAGATTTCTCGATCATTCTCGATCATGATTTGCGGATCGGCATGCTTGCCCTGCGATTCGGGCGTCGCGGTGTGCAACTCATGGCTCATGGCTGCGACGTGGTCGTGGATGAACTGCTGGCCGGCACCTTCACACCGGTTTAAGAAGCGGGAATTGTGTACAAGCCCGGGTGCTGGCAGGATTCTATGCAAAAGCTGGAAAAGCTGCTGAAGCTTTGCGCAGAGCTTCATGTCGAGATAGCACCTGCCGAGGAGCCCTTGATTTGTGCTTGCTGTTTGGCTGGGCTTTGGTCCTGCACCCGAACAGACAGGTTGCAACAAGCAGCCGCCGCGTGTTGGTCGTTCCTCTATTGGCCCCTTGCTCAGTCCACAATGCCTTTTGCATTGCAATCTTTTTGCTGCTGCCTGCAGATTGGAGCAGTGGATGTGTATGGTGCGCCAAGTCGGGGGGAAATGTCGTGAAATCGCTTAACGTATATTCAGATCAAAGTGGAGCACGCCGATGCGAACAAACAAGGTTCCTGAGGCATCAACAACTTGGGCAGAAGAGTTGTTTTGAAGAGATTCGCATGGCGCAGCGAAGCGGGGCCATCCGCGAATTAAGAAGTCTAAGACGCGAGCGCTTTGTAGTTGACATGGCAGTTATTGACCGGGCAGGCAGGTTAACTTGGGACGCTCGGCGGCACGCTGCCGGGGTGTGCATGAACAAGAAGGTTCTCCCTCTACCATGGCCCCGGATTCCAAGCTCGCAGAGCTGCGTGCTTCTCGTGACTGTGATGTGCGAGAAGCCATTGGGGGGTGCTGAGCTCCAGTAACAAGAGCTGGTGGGTAGTTGAAGCTGAGCTCGGCTGTGTACCTCGCAGCTAAGTCCTGGCATCATCCTCAATGGGACACAGAACCAGACATCGAAGGCTTTTCCTGTACACGGCAGTGAATCAATCAGCTCGCACAGAATGGCAAGTATTCTTGCAGTGACAGGCTGGCAGGGCTTGCTGCCGGTAGATCAGATGCTCAGTGCCGGACCCAATGCATAAGCCCATGCCTGACAAATGCCGGGACAGCTTTCACAGCTTTTGAGGCGATTACCCGCTGACTCATTGGCCACGAGGCATCTCCATCAAGGCTGGGTGCGAAGGGCGGCTCATAGATGGGGTCCTGCCCGTTTGAGTTCGCGTCCGTCTGAGCATCTGAGAAAGAGTCCGGCACAAATCTGGCATGCTGTAGCCCAAGAACTGACCGGACATCGGACAGCACCTCCCTTGATCAGGACGGAACAGCAGCTAAAGCGGTTGCCCGAGCCCCGCAAACAAAGCGACAGTGCAGAGATCTTTCCCTCGTCTTTTCTGCTTTCAGGATAAGATCAACGATCGACTCATGGACTGGGAGCAGATCCTGGCTTTCCGCAAAAGCTTTCATGAGGCGAGAAATTCCCTCTCTCGGAGACTTCTTCCTTCAGCTTTTCAATGGTTTTTTGGCTGTCTCTGCATGGCCCTGGCTAGGTCCTTTCCTTCTCGCACTTTCTGCCTCGCGTCGAGGCGAGTCGCAGCCCGTTTCTGAAGCTTAGGGTGCTATAGCCCTGGCCCCTTGGAGGCAAATCCTGAAAAAAGATACCTTAGCTACCCAAACCTTGTGCCAATCTCAGCTTCTGCATTGGAGCCCAGGCTGCTATCACCAGAGCTTGTTCTAAACTTGTGTTTGTCTCTCCTCCCTCTCTCTCTCTCTCTCTCTCTCTCTCTCTCTCTCTCTCTCTCTCTCTCTCTCTCTCTCTCTCTCTCTCTGTGCCCCTCCCACTGCAGCTGAGGCCAAAGGCATCGGGTCCAACTACCTGCGTGCACGCGTAGAAGCATTAAAGCCGGATGTGCATGCCGGGACCTCAAGCATCGCTCTACATAGGGTGAAAGGGTTTCACCCCAAGCGTTCAAGCTGTTCCCTCCTAACTCTCCAGGTGTTCGGCCATACTCATTTCGGCTACGATCTCGTAGCTGGCACCCCAAAGTTTGTCTTAGAGGCATTTGCATTCGTGGCCGGGCTGCCATCGGTCCAGGTGGATGGAATTCGTTATGTGCAGGCTCCGTTGGCTATGCCCTTGCTCTCAGCACGAAGCTCTTGTCAGCAAGCTTCATTGTGCACGATCACCTGTGAAACAAGATTCACATTCAGGTCATCCGAGCGGCAATCCCGCGGCACAACGGTCGTGCCGAGCCCAGCATGGGACAGACGAGACGACAAGCCGCAAACTTTGATTTCGTGTTCGGTTGTTCCGTTGTGCCTCTGTGTGTGCGTAACTGTTTCGAGGCAGTGGGCGATTTTCCGGACGGCAAGTCTCGTCCGCATCCGTTTCTCGCTTGCTGCTTGGTTTCCGCATGTTTCCGCAGTGCTTGTGCAAAGTACTTGGTCAGCGAACTCGTGTGACAGGTTTGGCACTCCCGCAGTGGCTGGGCGCCTCGCTGACCTTTCCTCAGCGCTGGGATGTTCCATATTTTCTCCGTTCTTGTGACTTTGCAGCTTGGGGGGTCTTCAACCACGTGCGAGGTCGGGGAGCAGCTTGGTCAGCCTACGTTGAGCGATATGGTCGGCGCCCAGACGTCACGCCAGCATCTCAACACTCAAGACTCGAGTGAATCGACGGACGACACATGTGGACACCATGGGTTACAGTGTTGCAGGTCTCTAGTTCCGTCCTACGATCCGAGCTCAGCGTGGTTTCTCAACCTGTGAGCCCGGTCTTATCTGCCCATCGCCAAGGTAGCAGACTGTGGCCTTGAGCCAATCAGTAGCACTCCTGGGCCCAAGCATGTGTAGCAAGTTATGATGTCATGATCGTGATTCAGATTGGACTGAGGTGGTATTGGCGGCGCAAAAGCCAAAGTGGGATGGCTGCCTGGCAGGTTGCATGCCTGCGTGGTTCGAGGTCTTTGTTTCTTACAATGACGTCGCATAAACTGCAATCAGGATGCCCGTTTGGTTCTTCGGGCCACGTGAGCACAGAATTCGCGAGGCGCGCTTGGCATTGTTTCTTGGACCACGACTCACACCAACCATTGCAGGCTGCAGCAGAGGCCGACAAGGTTGCAGAGCGCTTGCGGAAAGAGGCTGCCCTGTACCAAGCACACGAAGCCCGGCAAGTGTCGGCATTCCAGCTGAACAGTCATGCGGGACTGGTCGTATTCAACCTCCGCCGATACAACAGAAGCAGCAGCCGTAGGCTTAGAGGCTAAAAGGGGCCCAAAGCCTTGAAACGCGAAGAGGTGTGAACCCAAGAATCGCGGCTCGAGGCCGGCACCTTCAAGCGCAAGCAGCGGAAGCAGATCGGATCCGATGAGCCTCTTCTCATCGAGGCCTCTGAGGCCGGCGACGGGCGAACGTCAGACAAGCCTGGTACTGGGAGAGAGTCGGCGTTCGGGTCTGGAGTCGAAGCTCTGGAAGCCTTGCTTCAAGTCCATTAGTCATAGTCGGCTCCGTCATCGCAAGGTAGCGATCCTGATGAACAAGGCAGGCAGCGGGCAGAGCATCTTGCCCCGCTGTGCTTCAAGCCTACTACGGCTCGTCGACAGGGATGCCGTGTAGCAGAAGTTGCTTTGGCATTAGAGTCGCGTGTCCGAGAAGGTGGAGGAGGATTGGCGGTAGCAGCAGCGACCATCGGTAACATGGGCGAGCAGCGACAGCAGGAGGGGAACGCGGGCGTGCGGTAGTTCCAGGCGATTCCGAGCAAAAGTAGCAGTCGCTGCGGGAGCCATAATTTTGGTATATTTTGGTGCATCCCATGTGCGGACACGGTTGCGCCTTCAGGGTAATGGGCTTCGTCATCAGTGCCTCCGTCATCAGCGCCAATTTTACAATTTTACAATAACATGTAGATTTTGGGACGGGGGCACATCCCGGCTGCATTATTGTGGTCGTCGTTGCTGCAGTTGTCAGGTCTTTGGGACCTTGCATGACCTTGCTGACCGGTTGCCAGGGGGAAGTCGCAATTCTTGACGTTCGAGAGGGCGACTTCGCTAGCCGGCCTGCCGGATGCGTGCCTTTGCCGGAGCCTCGAACGAGAAAAGACACTTGACGAATGCTACTTACTGCACTTACTACTTCTGTGTCCTTAGCCTTGACATGTCCGATCTTCTTGTAGTTGGAGTGCTGAAATGGGCAGTTCAGGTCGCACCCATCACAAACCAGCAACTTTGCGGCTCTCCCGGACGCAGAGCTTCTGGAGCTCGGTGAGCGGATGATGACGGGAGGGGGGCCGCTGACCTGGCACACAGCGGCACGTTTGGACGGGGCAGAGATCCTTGTCCTTGTCATGGACTCAGGCCACGCATCCTGGTGGGAGAAGGAAGCTCGCCAGCCATGCCGACATCACTTGGCTGGCTGCAGCGCTCCTGAACAATGTATTTGTAATTATTGTGCCAGGCTAGCTGCCGCCATGCTGCGTTGCTCCTGGCTGCCCTTCTTCGTCTGTGGCCAAGGCTCGAAACGTGGCGTGGGCCAAAGCTGCTGGTACTTTAAGTGCGTGTGCACGTGTGGATTCCTTTGCGTGTGTGTGTGTGTGTGTGTGTGTGTGTGTGTGCGTGTGTGAGTGTGTGAGTGCGGGTGCGGGTGTGGGTGCCCTCGTGGGAGCAACGGGATTCTGCACGGCAAACTCGGCTCAATGCTCGATCTGTGCAGTTCCGGGTCTTGAGCGCTGCAGCTATGCGGCAACTCCGGAAGACGGCTTCTCTGTGGGCAAGAGCTTCCAGTCTTCTGGCCGCAGTCTTTTGCATCTCTCAATGGCCACGGAGACCTCGATCTGCTTCTGTTGCCATTCAAGGGTCGTTGCACCCAGGCTTGTGGGCTCACCGGAAAATTAATATCGAAGGACAGGAGCTAGTGGAGCGTAGCATTAGCTTGGAGCAACTCCCAGACTTAAAGCCGTCCATGCTGCACATCTTGGAACAGGCACTGTCAGTAGAGGAGGTAGCCTCGATACTGGAGATGTTTCGCAGGGAGAGGCTGTCAACAACGGAAGCTTTACAGAACCCAGTACAGTCACCGGCTGTGGTGCTGGCAGAGGATGGTTGCTGGAAGCCAGGTCCTCTGAGTCAGCAGGTCCGCGTGGTTGTGGAAGAGCGACTGCTGGTGTTCATGCGCATTGCCCTCGCTTGCAGCAGCTTGGAAGTGGCCCAGGTCATCTTACGCCATTACCCAAGCGATAGCTGCAGGAGTCATGAAGTCCACACAGACCACACGGCATTCGGCACTGCAGTGGCAGACCTGACCCCGGAATCAGGGAGCGGTCTCTTCGTTTGCAGCAAGAGCCACGGCGCGCATGGTGGTGATGCGGCAAGCGAGGGCAGTTTCTTCGTACCTTTCCAGCCAGGTGATGTTGCGGTGCACGGCTGGGAGGTTTGGCACGGAATTCAGTTGAAACAAGGGCACGACAGGGTCTCCCTGATCGTATGGGTGCGTCCAAGAAGCGATGTTTCCAGAGGAAGCTGTAGTTGGTACTGGGCCCCTGAGTTGGAGGAGGACACCAGGGCGGCTTATCACATGGGTATCGAGGCATGGAGGCAGCGTCAGCTGGGCCGCACAAAGGCTGCACTTCTGCAGATGGCGCTCCATGCGAACGATGCCAGACACCTCCGCTCCAGGTTGAGGGCCCTGGGCGGCAAGAGGCAGGCGGAGTTGTGGTACATCAGATGCATGGCTGCTGCTTCGCGCCAGAGGCTTGGCGAAGGCAAATTCACGAGACGGTTGCGAGACCTTGCAGAAGCAGAATCAGCAGGTTCAGCTTTGCAGCGACTCAGGGAGGGCCCTCCCCGGGCCAGGACCGGGCCGGCCCAGAAGGTCGTGCCCGCGAAGATGCGAGGCGCCTTCCGGCGTGGCTGGGAAGATGCGCAGAGAGGCCTTCCAGACCTTCGCGATGCTGGGTCTACGCTGACGAACCTTCCGGCCGAGATCAACTTCGCGAGCCGTTTAACAGATCGCACTAGCGCCGCGCGACTCTTGCAGCAATGCGGCTTGGTGGTGTTTACCGAGCCGATGGATGCATTGAAGTCTGATCTCTTGCAGGAGGTGCTGGGAGACTTTCAGAAACAATTTGCAGCTCTAGAGCGTCGACTCGACCATGAAGGCATCTCCATGCGGATGCCTTTCGAGTTCAACGAGGTTTGTAGTCGCTTTCCCGAAAGATACGATGTCCGTCTGCCAGTCGAAGATTCGCGCGATGCATGTCACCTGGAAGAGATGCCCTGGATGCAGCTGATTCGTGATGTCTTGGGCATAGCTACCAAGGAGCGCTCCGAGCAGGTACCAGTTTGACAGGTACTTGCAGCAGTATTCGTCGCACATTCCGAAGGGTTTGTAAGGGAATTATATATATATATATATATATATATATATATATAGGTCTTTTAGCTTGTCCAGGAGCTATGGCGTGGTGTTCTGCTGAGCAGACCTGGAGCTTTGGCACAGCCGTGGCACAGGGACTCCGGGCAGCTCTTTAAGGGTCTCACGAAGACTCCCGCGCATGCAGTCACCATCTTCGCCCCACTGGTCGAAGTCTCGTCTGAGATGGGGCGGACGAGCTTTGTCCCTGAATCGCACCTTACTGACGACATGAATTGCGAGGAATTGGGCACTTCTCATGTTACCCCGGTACTTCCTTACGGCTCCTGGCTTGCCTTTGACAATCGCATCGTCCACAGGGGTGAAGCAAACAGCGCGGTTGACATGGATCGGCCAATGCTCTACTTCGTCTACGGGAAGAATTGGTTTCAAGACGTGAACAACTTCCCGTCAGACAAGCCATTGTACCCCACCCCCGAGACCTAGATAGTGAAATTAGATACCGTTTGTCAAGTGGTCTTGGAAAAGAAGTCCACCGAAGCTTTCCTCGACAGCTGCCCAGTGTGGATCTGTGCGGATTGTGGCCTTCGAATTGCGAGCAAAAGGAGTGTGTCACGTGCAAGAAGCAGTGGGCGAGGTTTCGCTACTAAGAAGCTACACGTAGATATTGCATTGGGGGCCGATTTGCACAGCACCCATTCTTTCTCGTCACAGGGACGTGCGACCACTGCGCGGTGGCTTCGATGCTTGGGTGAAACAAGGCCTTCCAGTGGAGCCCACAGGCTCACTGGGGCAGGGAGGCTACTAATTATGCTTCGACAGATGCAGCGAGTCGGCAGAGCCTCTGCCTTCGCATCTTGTACATCAGATCGCATATTGAATCTCATGCATTTAAATAGGCTTTGCCGTTCTTGACCTTTGTCGCAATACTGTTGTCCTAAACGAGAGCAGCCAGAGCATTTGCTTGTGGCACAGCTTGTGCGGACCTGTTGCCATGTGGTAGCAGTGCCTGCAACGCTCTTTGTTCCAACTGTTTAGCCATAGCGACGAGATGACACAGCCTCGACGTAAAAGTGAGCAGTGCCCGGGCGCCCAACGCCAGTCGCGAAGCCGCGAAGCTGCAGCAAGGGTTGGCGCCGGCTCCCTGAGCCAAGATGTTGGTGGACCGGTGGCCCGCAGCTTCAAGCGTTTAAAACACAGTCGCACGACTGTGAGCCAAAACGCAGCAGCAGTAGCCGAAAGACAACAAGCACCTTGCAGTCACATATTTGTGTGCGCACTAGTGACACTACCAAGAATAAGACCAATTACCATTTGATTTCGCCCATTGTCAAGCAGCAATATGCAACACAACTAAGTTAGCAGGAAGAGGTACCCGTAGTTGCCTTTTGACCTAGTGGACCATTCCATTGCGAGCGCTTGCAATTGATCTTCCCTGAATGGCTGAGCCTTAGCAGAACCAGAGGTGAAGCATGTCGCACCCGCGTCGATCTGGGTGCTTCCTGGCTAGCTGTACCTGGCTTACTTCATGCGACGCAATTGAGGATACAGCCCCTGCCGCTGCCGCTGAAGGAGGTCAGATCATCCCGCTTCGATTCTGTATATGGCACTCTGATCGCTTGTCGGTTCCTCTAGGCGAGGAGGCACGTGGATCCCGTGTCAATGTAAAGAACTTGTGCCAAAGCAGCTTGGCAACAGAAGGGCCTCTTGGGTCTTGAGATCCGATGGTTTGTTGTTACATCATCCGATGACTAAGTATCCAGTGTCGAAGATGGGGCTGTTACCTCAGGGAAACAATTAAATGCGTTCCGACAAGACGTCAAAAACGGAGATCTTGTTGCACAACTGCCAGCCCCCCTAGTAACTAGCCAGCTCGTAGACATAGGCGAGAGAAGTTATGCGAGAATCTCCGTACGGTGATGAAAAAAGTACTTCGAGCGGAATAAAGCATCACGGCGATGGCCCAGATCCATGCAGCTCCAAGAGCAGTACCGCAAGTTATCTGAACCCTTCCCGAACAGCAACAGATTCGCATCTCGTAGACTGCAGTTGGTAGCCTCCCGGCCATAACTTGGGGCAGGAGACGTGGGATGTTACGCGCGAAGATGCGTGTTCTGGACCTGCTATCACTGGCTGAAGTCTTCAAGGGCGAGCCCAAATAATTCACCAATGCAGTCCTCGCTAAAAACTTGTGCATGAAGCTTCCCCTCAGAAACCGCCAAGCTGGCTGTTTCTTAGCTTCGGAATGCCTCTATAAGGTACCACGGCGGATGAACTGAAGAGCTTTTTTGCTTGCTGTGGCACTGTGACTGATGCCGGGGACCAAGTGCTCCTGCAAGGTTCCAAGCACAGATCACGGATGTCCTTTCTGTCTAGCTAGACCCACATGGTGCCGATGCCAACAGAATTTGACATCACGCGGTGACAAGCATCAGGTGGAAGTCAAGGTTCACCCAGATGGTTCTTCCAAAGGCTATGGCTTCGTCTGCTTTTCGCCACCGGCTCAGCACTGCTCAAAAGACTTGTGGAGAGTCCGCAGGGTCGGACATCACGCAAGCTGAGACGCATACTCGTCAGTGTCCAGGACTCCAGAAGAAGCAGACAAAGCTGTGGCCGAAATGAATGTCAGCCTCTTTTCCAGCAGAATGTTGCTAATTGCGGTGCTTCTCGGACGAGTGTTGGGCTCAGTCCACATGCGCAGGGGAAGACCTTAGAGGACCTGCGGAAGAAGCTGGCATTTTTGTTTAGGATCAGATACTCGCATGTGCCAAACACTGGCGTGGTTGGGAGGAGAACAAACTCGTCGTCGCAGCCTCAGCCGGTTGGGGCGCCAAAGGCCGTATCCATTTTGGCCGAAACGTGAGGTGAAAATCGCTGAGCGACGGTACACAGAGGGCAAAGGCGAAGCAGGCACCGGAACGAATCTTCACAGACCCAGCATTCAGATCCAAGTCCAAACTATAGCATGCCGGGCGGTGTGCGAACTTGTGATGTGAAGCCCCGCGCAGTCAAGAAAGAGTCTCCTGACGTTCAGGCAACAAAGGCAAGAGCAAGGGCAAGGGCAAGCAGAAGGTCAGGCTTGAATTCCTATGTCTGGAAGGGCTCGTGAAGCAGAAAACTTGACAGGCACAGTTTGGCTACATGGACCCCTACGCCATGTACGGTGCAGGACCGAGATGTTGCAGAACTGAAGTGACTCCAGCATGTGCTGGCGTAACAGCCAGCAGAGTGCAAGAGCCGTCGCGTCAGCAATGGGGTGGTGAGGCCAAGTAATGGATCCGATGCCGGATTCTTGGATTCCCATCGTGGTGGCAGGCTGCAGGCGATTGCATCTTCAGCCTGCTTGATGCATCGGTTGCTAAGGGTCGCAGCCATGGGCTACCCGTGCCCTAGTTGTCCTGCATGTCTCGACCAGATGTCTCTGAACGTACCAGCAGGTATTACGATGCTTCGAGCATGATGAACCCCTACGGCTACGATCTTGGGGCAATCTACAATGCCATGTCGTCGTCTCGGGTTGTCACGACAGCAGAACATGTGACGCGTCGTGCTGCACCTGCTTCATTTTCTCACCTTGCTCCTACTGGCCCTATCGTGTTGAGGTATGGCACACAAGGCATGCCATGCATGCCGCAGATGTACAGCGGATTTCCGATGGGGGCTGGGCACTTGGAGCTCGGAGGCAGGCTCAGGCTCGCCTTGACTAGCCAAGCCGGAAGGCCCAAAGCCCCGAGGCCATGCCTGGCATGCCGATGGCCAGACCGGGCAAGGCATGGGCGTTCCTCAGCTAGAACTGTTCAGCGCAAAGGAACTGGTTGTGCAGGATCCGGGGTCGGTCGACCCAAATGCCATCTTGGCATTGCAGCAAGCACAGGCCTTCGCGCTTCAGTCGCAGGCGTGCAAGCGCTTGGGTAGACAGCTTTGTGGAGAGCTGGCTCGAGCCTGCTCGACTGCAGCTGGAGGCCATGGAAGCTGCCCGGGACCATAAGGCCCGCAAGTTCTAAGTATCTCACACCATTTGTGAGGTGCTGAGACTGTGACATCTTCCGAGGCAGGTGGTGCGAACAAAGATGAGAAGGGCAAAGGGAAAGGCGAGGCAGCGTTTTCTGTGCGTTCCTCCTCCTTGGGACTGCCGGCAGCGAACCATGGGGGCAGGTGCTCAAAGCAAGGGCAAAGGTAAGGCTGGGAAGGCCAAGGCGTCCCAGGACCTTGGCGCTGGTTTCGTGGAGCACTAGAGTTTGGGTCCCATGGACTTGCTGCCGTGTGCACCACCAGGAAAGTACCGGCCCCATGCCAGAAGCTCCTCCTCCGGACCAGGTTGGGAGCGTGAATGCGAACAAGTCTGCGCGTGGTGTACTCGTAGATAGCAGCAGCAATAGGAGTGCAGGAAAAGTGGCACAGAAGAAGCTGCAGTGCCGAACAGGAGGAGTAGTAGTAGTAGCAGCAGTAGTAGTTGTAGTAGTAGCAGCCGCAAGTGGAAGCAAGTAGTAGTAGTAGTAGTAGTAGTAGTAGTAGTAGTAGTAGTAGTAGTAGTAGTAGTAGTAGTAGTAGTAGTAGTAGTAGTAGTAGTAGAAGTAGTAGTAGCAGTAGTAGTAGTAGTAGTAGTAGTAGTAGCAGTAGCAGTAGCAGTAGCAGTAGCAGTAGCAGTAGCAGTAGCAGTAGCAGCAGTCGTCGTAGTAGTAGTTTGTCGTAGTTGTCGTGGTGGTGGTAGTGGTGGTAGTAGTAGCAGAAATAGAAGATGAAGTACCTGCATGTACCTGAGTAGTCATAGTAGCAGTGGCAGTGGCAGTCGCGGTGGCAGTGGCAGAAGCAGTAGCTAGCAGCAGTAGTAGTTGTCGTCGTACTAGTAGTAGCAGGAATAGCAGCAGTAGTCGCAGTGGCAGCACCAGAAGTAGCAGTAGCAGTAGCTGTAGCAGTAGCAAAAGCGGCCGCCAAAGCTGCAAGAGCAATAGTACCAGATAGTACCAGCAGCCAACAGTCGTCACCGTCGTTAGGCGACTTGTGGTAACCCCTTCTTTGCTACTGCTTTGCTGCTGCTGCGACCACGACCATTTCCACTGCCACTCTGGGTGATGGACCAAATCCTGCACCCTGTCTTAAGTGGCCTGGACGCTACCACCACACGTTCATCTGTTAAGCCGCTGACTGTCTATGTGCTCCACTTGTACATTCGTGGTCTTCGGCGATTTTTTGGCATGACAACCCTTGTTCTACTGCTCGTGTCTCGGCTTCATTCCTTTCCTCCAGGAATTCGTGGGGTATCTCAAATCCAAGAGTGAGAAGAACGGCTACGGGTTCATCGTGTGCGGCGAGATTCAGGCCTGGTGCAATGGCTGTCTTCAGCGTGCTATCAACGCGCGTTCTGCTCTGCCTGCTGCGAGCACAGGAGCGCTACCAGCGGGATGTTTGGGTGGACAGCGAGCTGCTGCCCGAAGGAGCTGCTTGGCAGACTAAGTCTGAAACAGGATATGCCAGAGAGAGCAGTTTGGCAAAGGTGGATCGAAGACAGTAGGAGGAGGCATGGTGGTGGTAGGAGCAGTAGTAGAAGCAGTAGTCAGTAGGAGTAGTGGGAGTGGCAGTGCAGAGGCAGTAGCCGTGGCACTAGTACTACTGACTACTGCTGCTGCTGCTGCTGCTAGTACTAAGCAGGGTAACAGGTTACATGGTGAAATCCGAGGGATTCGTTCAGCCATGCAGGAGGCACAACAACAACAACTTCTGCGCCTGCCTCTGCTACTGCGACTGCTACTGTTGCTGCCGTTATAAGGATCGTAAGTTAAGTTCAACATGGCAGATGGCCCGCAACTCCACGTCCTCCGAGGTTGATGCTGACAGCCGCGCAGAGCTCAAGTTCAACGTTACGCTCAGCTCCGGCCGTAGTCAAGTCATGGAGTCTCTGACCCCCGCATTACAACGGGCAGAAACTTCTTGCCCAGGCACAAAGGGACACCCACAAGCCAAGAACGCAAAATCTCCTTGTTTGCCGGCGCATTCAGCTAGAGGCACCTCCCGTACTAAGCATCTGCAGATGGCAGGTGGTTCTGGCGTGATGAAGGTGCACGATCTCCTGCCAGCGAGACATCGTGCGAAGCCGACAAGCAACTTCTGTGCTTGCAAAGGCCTGGCTCTCGAAACGGTTCCCAGTGCTCCTCAAGCCAGCGGCGAGGGCAGAAGCAGAAGACTCTGCAACATCTTTTGCCAGGACAAGTTTAGCAGGCCCTACCTCCCGGTGCCCGGTTTCATTGTACAGTCGGACCACTAGCCTTGTCGGCTCACCTCTCGCATTGACAGATGAACAAGCCCTTCCGTGGATGTTAGGCCGCACAGTCTCAATGTCTCTGGCTCTTGAACCTCACGCCCAATCAGCTGCAAGCTGTCCTCGGCCTTGTTGCGATGTGAATGGCAGTATCTCTTCATCGACCGGTGCAGTGCGCAACCAGCGGCTCAGAATATGAAACGATGTGCCGCATCTAACAGTGTCACGGTGACGCCACCCTGCGTTACTAGCGTCGAACCAACCTAGCACACCGGCAGAGGCAGTCCGCACAGCAACCCTGCAAGAGGAAACGTGGTCATCAAGACTTTGCTTGTCTCCCCTTGCCGTCTGCTCGCACCTCTGATCAAGCGGCTGCAGCCTCAAAGTCGTCTCTGGATCTTTGCTGGATGCTGCGGTTTTAGGAGATGCCATATCTAGCCCTGGTTTTTCATGGCGGCGAGGCATGCATGGTCCGTTGCTGCAGATTGGCAACTGTGCTGACGTACTGCTGCCCATGTCTACCCGAGCCTTGGCCGTGCATGGCTTTTCGAAGCTTGTTCAGTCCGTGCTGGAATCCCGCCTGGACCAGGAACTCCTGAGCCCGCGCGATGTCTCCATCATCGGCCGCTTGTCTCCGGATGTTAGGGCGAGTCCTTCGTTAGGTGCGGCAGAGACTCTGAGACGTGGAAGCAGAGATTCTGGAGCTGAGGCCTGGCCGTGCTGGCGATGAGCGCCGCGCTGCCGCTCGGACCCGGAGCCAGACTTCCTCGTGGAAGATGGGGTGCTTGTGCTTGGCTGCTTCCCCTTGTCCGTGAAGACATGCCAACACAGACAGCACAAGAGAGGCCAGGCATCCCAGACAGCACACACACACTTCAACACAACAGGTGGACGCCCGCCCCTGTTTGTGCTTACTTCCGCGACAGTTCGGTGGTGGCTTTTCCTGAAGTTGCTTTGCGAATATCCCCGCTCGCAGGGTGCTGGACGCGCCGGTCATTCCACCAACTTCGCATCCCGTTCGGTACTAGCTTCTGCGCGTTCAGTCAGCACATGTTGACGTGCTCATGCGGTCATGCACTATCACGCAATTACACCCTCTCACACTCACACGCCTTCGCGCTTATGCAGGAATTGCACACTCCTTGCCACGTCATGAGCTGCTAGCTCAACTGTGTTGCGTGTCCTCCGGCCATGCTACTCTCCTCGTCACGGTTCTGTCTTTGGAGAAACTGGTTTGTAGTGTAGCATATGACAATACTCTATTAAGCTATACTATAATATACTCTACTATGTTTTATCGTATTAAACTCGTGGATGTCAGTGGCCCAGGCTCCTTGGCCTGTCAAGTCGACAGCGCGGCGAGGCCAGGCCTGGGTCGCAACGGGTGTTCAGCGCATACGCACGTCATGCATCAGTGTGTCTAAAAATATGTATCTATATAAGTGTAAGTATATAAATGTATCTCATTAGATATCTATACAGTATATCTATATATCTGTATGTCTATATATCTATATGTCTATATACCGAGACACCATATCTCTACCTTCTGTATGCTTAGATTTTATGCTTACAGTTCATGCAATTTCTTGTATGTGTAGATCTTGATACATGAATAAGCACAAGCATATGTTACACACATACATACATAGATACATACATGCATGCATACATGCAAACAAACATCAATACATAAATTCATACATACATGCATGCAAACATGCATACATACCTCTGTACACACATGCATGCAGGCATGCATGCACTTCTGTATTTGTTTGTATTTTCAGACGACGTGTTTTTATAATATTTGCATGCAACTCCATATATGCATGTACATTTATTCACAAGTATATGTACATACACATATGTGTGTGTATGGGTAGGCACATAGGTATGTGTAGGGACCTCCATGGCGCTAGAGTGAGCGAAGTAGGTCTCTGCCGTGATACCTACCACTGCACGAACAATTTGGCTGCAATGCCGCGGTTGCCAGGAAGAGCTGCTGACCTGGTCTCAGGAGCCCTGGCAGAAGGCTCGCTGCTCGGTGCATCAGGCCGGAACTTGCTCGCTGGTTTGAGGAAGGTTTCCTGACTGTGCAGCAGCTATGCAAGGTGGGGATCGCCTACTCCGGCGACTGCAATTTGCCTCGTGACGAGGAGGAGGCCTATGACTATGGCGCTTGGCCACCAGCTACTCAGCACGATTGAGCCTATCGTGGCTGTTTCGGATGCAGCGGTGCTGTTATTTGAGAGTGTGTGCATCGAGGTCAAGAAGAGTTCAAGAGCGACTTGCCCGCAGAAGACATGATGTTGGGTTTTCTCGTGGACAGACCTGTCGAAGAACTTCCTGGTCTCGGTCACAGCAGAACACAGTCACAGCCGCTAGTGACGCTGGTGCTTGTATTTGAGCCTGTTTTAGTTTGTGCAGGAAGCTCCCCGTCACCACTACACCAAGTGCCCGCAGGCCGGAAGAGCATTTCAGCTGCGATGCTACTGCTGCATGAACCGCGGCTTCAATGCAACGTCTATAGCTTGCACAGAAGAAGTTGACAAACGTGAAGCGACCTTAGCGACCGGCTGGGCGAATCATCAGAATTCCGGAGGCGGGCTGGACCTGTGCGGCTGCTCGTCGGCAATTGCAGGACATGCAAACTTGTGCCTCCCAAAAGAGCTCAGACTCAGACTTCTTTTTGAGAAGGCTTCTCATTGCTACGCGCCTCCGGAGCAGATTCCCTTGGTGCTGTTTCGCCTTCACTGAGGCTGAGGGCAAAGCTCCCGAAGCCGAGAATGCCTCCGCTGTTTCGAGGGACACCTTGGGACCCATCATGCCAAGGCAGGGGCCAATACAAAGCGCTAGCCTGTGAGAACCGCCCCACACAGGTACAACTTGGTGGTTTGCAGGAACAGCCGCCCGGCCGCTTCAACATGCAGGTAGCTACGATGTGAAGGGGTGCTTCTGAATGTGATTTTACGGTTAACATGGGACAGTGCTGGACTGTGGTTGGGCTTCGCTTCGACCGTGCTCAGGTTTCCTGCCATGGGCAATGGTCCGTATCCAGACAGAGAGCCCCTGGACTTGTCCCTAAGTGCATAGTACCGTCCGTTGGTAAAGATTCATGTGGCTCTGGTTTCAAGGTGTTAGGGACACCTGGAACTCAGGCCTGCAAACCAATGTCTCGCAGACACTGAGCTGCACAGATTCAGAAGGGGTTTCTGCGTGCGCGAGATTCACGAGCACGGCTGAGGCAAGTGTTCTGTGGCCGGACACCCAGCTTGCAGTGAGGTGAATATCATTCGCACGAGGCGGAGAGCGAGTTGGAAAAAAGACCTACAAGTGCAAGCGTGCACGTGCGTGCACACCATTGGGACCCTACGTGCTGCTGACCTCGTGGAGAGCTGCAGAAGGAAAAGAGTCAGCGAAGCCTGGGAAAAGAGCGAGAGCGAGAGAGAGACCTCGCCCCTTCTCCTCGCCCCGGAGCAAAGCAAAGCAAAGAGATGCCCCCCTAAACAACGGGGGGGCCCTTGTGGCCGAGGGGCGTCGCAACCCCTCATGCCCCGGGGAAGAAGAGAGATCGCGCGAGGGGAGACGTACAGACCCGCCTGAAGCCAAAGCACGTGGGACCTGTGTATGGTAGCTTGGACCCAACGCGACTTCTCTGCAAACCAATGGGAAGTGGGGGCGCCGAGCTGGAGGGTCCGGACTAGTTGAACTCATTCTCCCAGCAAGGAAGGCAGAAAGAGAGAAGGGGATCCTCAATAGCAACATGGGGGCAAGATTGCTGATGGTTTACATCTTGGTTGTCGTTCCAGTTCATGAAGGATGTCGTGCCTTCTCCGGTCGAGACAGAACTGTGTGTTGCTACAATATCTGCAGACTAAGCATCTAAAGTGAGTACTCTCGAAGTTGTGCGTGAGCCTTGGTGCACAAAGCGCGCGACATCGGGGCGTTCAGCCACAAGAGCGGAAGCTTCGAGGCATGTGCACAGAAGCCCCCCAAAAATCAGAGAAAGAGATCCGTGGGGATTTTGATCACTCTTTTGACACAGAGTTCGCATGAGGCTACCAGGCCGGCCTGCCGCAGTGGTCTGGGCCTCTGAAACAGAGCAAGACTTGAGTACAGGCGACATGACACAAGCGTCATGATAGGAAGTTCGATTGCATGGCGCCCTGCAGCCAATGTGGAGCTCGGCACTGTAGGGTCTACTCAGGTCCCACACCGAGACTTTAGCAACCGCGCGAGACACCAAATGATTCCTCAGTGCTGCTGTTTGGAACCGTCGGTGTGCGACGCAAGGCAGAGATTCCTTGACAGCTTTCCACCACGAGAAGGATCGTCCGGTACCTTCTGCTGCCACGCGCGTGTTTGAGCGTTGAGTGGTAGTCCAGCACAGAAAAAGAGTTGTCTTGTGGGTCTCTTGGAGATCGGCCCGGCAACATCCGGACCTCGCACCTGAGATGCAAATCGGCAAAGACGGCTGCACCCGCACGAGTGGTGTCGTTGCGGCGAAATCCCACTTCCGCCACAGAATCTGTTTTCTATGCTGGTAAACCTGTACCTGCTCCAAAATTGTTGCGGGAGTACACTTTGGCTCCGCACGCCACTCCTGTAATAAGCCCGTGGATACAAGCTGTGCTAAAAGAACAACATTCAACATTGGCTCTTGCATGTTTCAATTTTGCAGCCCGGGCGGACACGGGCGCAGCCCACAAGCTAGGCCGCTAGGCGCGCCGTCACTGGGAGTGGTAGCCGATCTTGCCGCATGACTTTTCCGCAGGTTCTCAGCAGGGACGCCTTAGGTCACAGACGTAGGTCAAGGCCTTCCACCATCGGCGCAGTGCAATGTCGGCAGCAAGTCCCAATGTGGTCCTGACAGACGACAGGGAAGCGAGGCGCATCGATGTGCACAAGAAGACCCGGCTCTGCAAGTTCTTCGCCGTGGGGGCCTGCACACGTGGCTCGAGCTGCGCCTTCGCGCACGGGTCCGAACAGCTGCGTGATCAGCCAGATTTCTCGAAAACCCGCCTCTGTGCGGACTTCGTCGAGCTGGGCAGGTGCACTGCAGGTCAGGCATGCAGGTTTGCCCACAGCAAGAGCGAGCTACGACCGGGCTCGGCAGCCAAAGTGGGCAGGCCATCCAAGCCTGCTACCGCGACTCCAGTCACCGCCACTTCCGCAGCTAAGCAAAGTGAAAAGAGTCACGTGGAAGCAGCAGCGCAGGTCCTCCAGACTTTGCGGGCGCAGCATGCTCTGCACGAGCAGGCAGCACTGAAACTGATGCTGCAGTCTGCGTGTGCAAGGGCACCAGCACCAGCGCCAGTCAAGCCAGTCAAGGCAACGGTACGACAGGAGAAGGATGTGGAGTGCTGCTTCGACAGCAGCGGCACCTTCAGCCGCCAGACCACTTGGGAAGGCATGGAGACAGCCTCCGCGGGGTTCAGCCGTGACTCCTCCACTGCCAGTGCCTCGGAGAATGTCGTTGCTCCGGAGCCCTCCTCGGGATTGGAGCTGCGAGTAAAGAACACCTTCCTTGAAATCCAGGACGAGCCAGAGCAGGAAGCTTCCGAAATGCGTAAAGTTCGGTCCCTGCCGCTCCTTCCTGGAGTGGCCTGAAGTAAAAGCAGTGAAGCAGTCAAGAAGCTGATGCAATGTGATGCATTGTCGAGTGTTGATTACTTGAGCAGTGCTAGGTTCAAGTACCAACTAGTCAAATTCAGGCAGCGCAGTCCCATCCACTTGTTAACACTCGTGGGTGGCACCACTGCAGCGCCAACAACGTTTGAAGTACGCGAGCGTGGCCGTGTTTGAAGAAGGGTAGTGGTGGAAATTTTGAGCTGCTCTCTGCCAGCACTGCCAGAATGCGCTTGATACTTTTCGACAAGGTTGCTACTGCGTGGTGGTCAAATCTTGCGCTAAGCAAAACAATGGCCATGGGGCCTGTTAAGCAGATGCGATTTAGAGCAGTGTTGTCAGAGGCCCTTCACCAGGCCCACGTTTCACATGTGCATCATACGGGTGTCTGTCAAAGACTGCCAGATGCATGCGGTCGAGTAAAGGCCCACAGCACAGGCAGGATGTCGAAATTCATGTTCTACAAGTTTCTACCCCAACCATCCCCTACCTGCCCTACCCATGTCTCTATTTTCCCTACGCCTATGTCAGATCATGCCCTGCAAACGTTTGGACCTGCGACGTGACGGAGACCCAGGTGCAATGGATGTAAAGACGAAGCTTTGCCCAGCTCCTGGCCCAGTTAGCAGCCGCAAGATCGTGGTCTACATGTCAGTTGTCTACTTCTGGCACTAGGAACAGGATCGGGTGTGAGTTCTTCTATGGCGGCATAGATGCGGATGCTTCGCAGAGAAACGAGTTTTTGAAATCGAGGGCCACCTGTGCCCACAAAAGGGCGCACTCAGCCTGAGAAGGCAGTGCGTGAGCTGGCGCAGGCAAACAAGTTCTGCCTTCAACCAGCCGACTTGCGACTCACCTCCCAAGCCCCGGATTGCCACTGTAATCATCTGTCAGGAAGCTCTACCTGCTGGGTGCTTGCACTTGACGGAAGCGGATGTCACGCAGCCGCGTGCCCAAGAAGTCGCTGTTCAGCCTTAATGCAAGAACCTTCTGGAGAGAAGAGAGATCCCCCCAGGGTTATAATGTATTGTCGAGCCCCCCGCAGGGAGACCCCCCAATACATTAGGTTGATGGGTTCCCTGGGAATCACCGAGACCCTTAATGTATTGGTGACTCCTCTGTCAAAACGCATCACTACTCCCAGATAATGCCTTACCGGGGGGAGGCGAGAGACTCGAGAGATCACCCCTCCTGGGGAATGCCTTGTGGACCCCCCCGTACGGGGGCTCTCTGAAGGCAATACCCCGGGTCGGAAATGCCTTGTGACCCCCCCTAATGCCTTGTGACCCCCCCCGAAGGAAAGCTAGTTGAATACCGGTCTTACCCATGGCTAACTAATGTATCCTGGGTGGGATGTACCCTGGCTAGAGATTCAGGATCCCCCACTCTTTCATTTAGGTATTGGTGGGGGGGGTCCCGCCCCCAGATGCCAGTATCCAGTTTCAGTATTGGGGGGGGGGGGGTCATGGCCATCGGCTAGGTTCTAAAATCCTGCGTCAGGACGTACAAGGGTTCTAAATTCCAGTTTCGTGTGTCCGGATCCTAATTCGATATATATATATCAGGTGAATCGCTAAGAATTTTGGATCGAATCGGCGTGGGAGCTGTGGGATTGGGTTTTTTTTTCAGACACTGTTTGATTGTGCAGACATATGCAGCCGGCCGCTCTGCGCAGGCATTTTGCCTCGGCAGGATTCGGCATGCATGGGCGTGACAGCATTGCATCAGAGCGTAGCCCAGGTCAGGGCACATAATTTTGGGCATGGCAGTATTTTATCCAGCCACTTTAACGGCAGGGGGAAGGGTTTGTAAAGCCACCGTGACGGCGTAGGGTTTTATCTTACTAGCACGAAGCCACTAGGACGGCAGGGGGGAAGGGTTTGTAAAGCCAGATTGTCGGCATTGGGGTTAATCTTACTAGATCTTACTAGCAAACCACATGAAGCCACTATGACGGCATGGGGGATTGGGTCGTAAGCCACCATGACGGCACTGGGATATATTTTAAGGCCATAGCCCTAAGATTGTAGCAGTGATTAAGCATGCCTCCTCGCCTGATTCCGAAAGCCTCGGCGCCGGCCGATGCGCCTGCTTGCTCGGATCCTCCCGCGGAGTGTGCCGGGTCCTCAAAATTACGGGTTGGCCTTGGGATTGCGATTCCGCTTTTGTTGGCCAGGGTGTCCATGGCTGCAGCGAGCGGATGCTGGAGCCCATGTGGGACAGCAAGTCTCGCATTTGGAGGTCGAGGCCGCCTTCGCTTTGTCGCTGTAAGGTTTTGATATCATTTGAATTCTTGCCAGATGTGCGGCCATGTTCGCAGACGAGCTCGGGCGGCTTCAGAGAGCCAGCCACCATGAGTTCTGGTCGTCGGTGTCCCGGTGTTTAGGTTTGCTGCCGTTGAAAGGAAGTCAGCCCCGTCCCCGAGGCCAGGCGGACAGATCCCGTGGTTGAAGAGCACGAGACCGCCGAGTGCCGCCATGATTCGGCGAGCTCACGATCAGCTTGAGGATTGTTGGGAACTCTTGTATGGGTTTGGGTTGCTAGGACTTGCTGCACTCCAGGAGCAGATGGCGACATCTTCATTGCAGCAGGCCAACTCGTAGCTTTGGGTTGTGGCGTTCAGACCGCAGCCCTTTAGTGCATTTCGTGGCGGCCGTAATACCGTGCAGGATCCTGGACCTACGACTTCGCCGACCACGACTCTTCGGAGCACGGCCGGGCACTCGACATCCCACCAATCGTCCTTGCCTCTGAGCCTTGTCAGGTCAACAACGAAGGAGCCTGGGCCCCAGGCTGGGGCTAGCTCGCTCAGGGTGTTCGCTGGACTTTGCAGGTACCGGCTGTTGCATCGACGAGAACTGATCAGAGCGCGGCCGGGCACTCGATCATAATCGATCAAGCATCCATTGCCCTGGTGTGCGACCCTCTCTCAGGTCGCGAACGAAGGAGCTCCCGATGCAGGGCTCTCTAGCTGGGGCTTTGGGGTCTTTGGTTTGGGCTCGCTACTCTTCCTAGGCTCCTGGTGCGCCTTCTTCATTGACCTCAACTGACCATCCGAGCACGGCTGGGCACTCAACCGTGGCTTCGATCCTTTGGGGTCTTTGGTTTGGGCTCGCTACTCTTCCTAGGCTCCTGGTGCGCCTTCTTCATTGACCTCAACTGACCATCCGAGCACGGCGGGGCACTCAACCGTGGCTTCGATCCTTTGGGGTGTTTGGTTTGGGCTCGCTACTCTTCCTAGGCTCCTTGTGCGGCTTCATTGACCTCAACTGACCATCGGAGCACGGCTGGGCACTCAACCGTGGCTTCAATCTTTTGGGTGTCTTGGGCTTGGGCTCGCTACTATACCAAGGCCCCTGGTGCGGATTCATTGACTACGACTGACCATCGGAGCACGGCTGGGCACTCAACTGTGGCTTCGATCCCATAGGTCCAACCGCCCTTCCCTCTCCCCGCCCGACCCCCTACACATTCCTGCGAGGATCGAGTTCCCAGCGACCACGGCGACCGAGATGGGCCGAAGGTGCGCCGGGGATCACTTGGTGGGGTTTAGGGCTTGGGTTCCGGGTTTGTCGTGGCGAGTGTAGCAGCACACATTCGATTGCCGTTTGCAGACAGACATCACATGTGGACCGAAGGGGAACCAGCTTGCTTGATATCGGTGGCAAAACTGTGAAAACATAGCCTAGGCATCCTCTACATCTGGCATTGCATACCGACCCTGGAGGCTTGCCAAAGTGTGAAAGCATGTCCTAGGCATTTTCTAGACTCTAGATCTGAGCAGTAGGTTGTTGAAACTTCGGCTGGTTGATGGGCCTTTGACCACCTCGCTGGGACGGACCTTTACCTGGCTAGTGGTGGAGATCCAGCTTTCGTGGCCTTGACCTGGTTGTTCTTCCGAGATCATCCTCCTTCCCTGGTTCAGCAGCATCGGTGGGGTGACGGGTTGGTGACCTCTGCTGGCTTGCATGCCGAAGCCTACGAAGGCCGCGAAGGCCATGAAAGCAATGAAGGCGATGAAGACCAGAGCGGCCCCGCGCAAGACGATGAAAGCCATGAAGGCGATGAAGACCAGGAAGACCTCGGCGCCACCAAAGAAGAAGCCGGCCGGGAAGGCGATGAAGGCCGCGAAGCCGGCGACAACGGTCATGAAGAAGGCCGTGAAGGCGATGAAGTCTGGGAAAGCCATGAAGGCCAGGCCACCCATGAAGAAGGCCACGATGAGGAAGCCGGCGCAGAAGCCGCCCAAGGACGATGACAGGAAGAAAGATGACACGAAGAAGAACCAGGACAAGAGGAAGGATGATGACAAGAAGAAGGACGACGACAGGAGGAAAGATGATGACAAGAAGAAGAACGACGACAAGAGGAAAGATGATGAGCCTCAGTGGGCGAACGGGCTGCGGCCCCACCGTCTCCCTCCCATTGGGTGGAGGCCGGGGATGAATCAGTACGATGGGAATGAGTACTTTGAGGTCGCTATCCTGGAAAATGGTGTCTATGTTTGCGACTTGTCAGTTCGCAAGGATGCGACAGTTGAGGATGCAGTGGCGTTGGCAATGGGCAGAGGCGGAGTCGCAGACCCGAGCCTTGCCATACACTTCAGGACGAAGGATGATGACAGCCAGACAGACGATGACGAGAAGAAGGACGACGACAACGAGAAAGATGATGACAACCAGGAGGCCGACAATGCCAGCGGAAACTCTGACAGGTCTAGTGCTTCCTCCAGCCACTGGAACACTAGACCGTGAGGGCTGTGTGTGCCACTCCTCCATCTAGTCGCCATCCCGGCCAATGCTTAGGCTGCACTGAGCCCCTGCATAGCAACACAGAGGTTGGGAGGCACACGCAGCCAACCGAGGGGTGAGTTTCACATGTCGCAATTGTTTGTTTGGATGAAAATGTGCTCGGGTTGTGGGTTTTTATAGATCGCAAATCCTATGCATAGGCCGGGTAGAGCGGCATTGTGCGTACGAAGT